GAGTGCTTGTCATGGGATCCCGTGGCCTTGGAGAGAACGAAGGGATCGCAGTGTGGATGTAGAGTAGAGGTATGTAAGGGAAGACGGAGGGAGAGGTGGAAGCCAGCAGATTATGGTTGGAAAAGGGGATTTCAGAATTCTTCAGCATTTGTAGGTGAGAGCAAGATTGAGGTTCTGACCATCTCTGTGTGCAGCTGAGGTGGATGGAGGAGCAGGTCATGGGACGTCAGTGACTCCTTAGTGCTCCGCGTGTCACGTCAGCTGGGCAGGTCAAGCCCTTGCTCCCCTGCCCGCTGCTTACCTGTCCAGACTGATTCCATCCTTTTCTGTCAACTAAACACTGCTCTGCCAGCTGGGCGAGACGCGGCCATGCCAGTCACTGTCTCCTCTGCCTGGAGTACGTGCCTTCCTCCTTGGCATCTTAGGATCTTGGGCTGCCCTTAAAGCTCACTTCAGACAACTTACAACTAGGTTTTCATTTCTTATTTCTCTGGTTGGTAATATAAATATTTTCTTGCTCCTGTCTTTATCGTCATCTATCCTTCCACCCACCCCAGAACAATGTAAGCTCCATGAGAAAAGTCCACTTTGGTTTTGTCCTTGTGCCCCCAGTGCCCAGCACAGTGGCCTGCTATATTTGTTGAAGGATATGAGGAAAATGGAAATAAATTGTATTTCCAGGTCCAGGGAGGGAAAACTTTTCTCGTTTTAAACTTCACAGTCTTTTGAAGTAGGTTAGTCAAATAATTCTTATATGACAGATGGGAACATGGGGGACAAGAAGTTGAGAGTTGTTTCTGGTCCTACTCCTAAATGGAAAATTTGTTATTGAGAGGTTTGATTACTAATTTTCTAGCATAGGGCTCTTTTTTTTTTTCTCCCTTATGCTTTCCTTCCCTTCTCCTCCTCCATCTTTTCTTCCTCTTTTGCTGTCTCATGCTGAGTTTTAACTCAAAAGAAAATGTAGAAATACTTTTTAGAACAAAGTGATGTTTTTCTTGAAGTTAGTTGGTCTAATTTTTACTTTTTAAATTTAAATTAAGAAATTTAAAGCTACACATAAGTTTATGTAGTTTAATTTAGTAAGAGCATAAATATAGCTAGCTTAGTAACACAGGATTTGAAATTGGTTTGGGGTATTTATGCCACCTTGATTATTTGAGAAAATGTCATTTTAAATCAACTTGATTTAAATACTTACAGAGTTTTAGAAAAGCAGATCTAGATATACAACTTTTAATTTTACAGATTGAATGCTAAAGCTCTAAATGTGTTGACGCTTTTGAATGTCTATCAAAAAAAACATTTGGTTGAAATTCTGTCCTACCACAACTGTGATTCTCAAACTCGAAATGCTCCTGAATTGGATTGTCTTATCAGACTTCAGGCTCAGAATATACAGCAACGACATGTTGTCTTTTTAACAGGTAAAAAGAAAGCTTTTCAGCTATTGTATGATTCTGGAAATATGGAGAATGAGGAGGTTATGCTTGTGTTTTAGCTCTGATGCGCATCATTAAATTATCTTTATTTTTCTAAAAATTTGTTTAGAAAAGAATGTCAAAATGCTTTCCAGTTACACAGATAATGGAATAGTGGTTGCAACAGCCGAAGATTTCATGCAAAACTTTAAAAGTCTTGTGGGCTATCACAATTCAATAACAGAAGAAAAGCTTCTCCATCATGGTGCTAATGAAAGTCTTGAGAGACAATCAGGTAATTTTTCAGTGAACTCCCTATTATGTAAGGCAGATCAAATGAGTAATGACGTGACTTGTTTTACTTAAGATCATGAAAGTGGATATTTTGAGGAGCTTCAAGTAGTTTATCACTAAAGCTTAACACAGAGTTTACGCAGTGAAGTGGTGACAGTGAAGAGAAATTGCATTTGGTGATCGGGTTTATTTCCTGCCTTGACCTTTTAGTAAAAATCAGATCAAGGGGCTCTAAGGAGATTGGATGGCATCGTGAGGTTAACAGCCCACTGGTTGGTGTTGGCCTGGGGAGAGGAGAGAGCTTAGTCTGTAGGCTTGGTGGGCTGCTTCTTTGGTCTTATGTAAATAGTACGAGGCTGGACATTGATATTTATCTCTGGGATTCTAGATTTTTTTCTCAAAACTTAAAACGTGGAAAACTTCATTTTAGTTGGTTTATCTATAGCAGTTTATTCGAGATAGTATCTCATTGGTACAAGGCCTATTGTAACCCAAAAAGATTGCTTTTTTCTTGGAAAGGAATGCAGTTTAGTAAAACTCTTGGTAGCTTGGCTAAATTAGACAGTAATCAAGTGATCTTAGATGTCAAATTTTATTATGTAATTGTCTTGTCAAATACTGAACTACCGTATAACTTTAGATGCTGTTTTGACATTAACCCCTTTGGAGCTGGGAGTTGGGATTTCCCAACATTAAACGTGAACACATTTCGCAGAAGCTTTTAGCATCGGAATATCTGGACATTCACACCTAAAGGTTGTGTGTGAGTGTTGGTGAGTAAGTGAACTTGTGGCGGAAGACCGAGCTCTAAGGGATTTTGGACTTGCAGCTCTGAAGCATTATATTGTGTAAGTAGTGTGTAATTTTAAAAACAAATTATGTATTTCAATAGAGTAGGACTTTGTTTTTTTTCTCTAAATGTAGCTCTTTTAGAAAGTGATGAAAAGGACGAAGAGGATATGTCTCTGGATTCAGGGGATGAAACTTCACAAATAGAAGTATGCAGCAGCTCTCATTCAGAAATATTGGAAATAGAGACCAAAGGATCACGTGGAACAGATCTAACAGAGATTTCCCAAACTCAGTTGCAGCCGTCTGCTGACAGGCAGAGGAGTTTGTTAGAAAATCAGACTTGTGACCTTGGAGCAGCAGAGGGGCAGCCTGGGGCGGCGGCTGCAGCAGCAGTCTCAGATGGGGAGACGGGCAAGTCCCTGGAACCGGCTCCTTTCGACGACTTTCAGGCCCGTCATAGTAGGCAGTTGAGCATGTCCCACCAGTTCAGTCATTTTAATGTTCTCACTCATCAGACCTTTTTGGGAACACCGTATACGCTTTCACCTAGTCAGACTCAAGAAGGTGGAAATTATTTTCTGTCTGCCTATAGTCAAGCCTTGGAAACAGATGAGTCTTCGTCTCCAGTTAGTTGGGATGTAAACGGTTCTTCTAGGCCATATTCAAAACAGAAGTAAATACAATAACTTTTAAAATAGGTTATTGTGGACTTTTTCCGCTTCTTAAAGTGAATTAACAATTTCTATTTTATTCTCTGAACAAAATGTTTGTCCTTTCTCAAATGTTTTCTTGTCTTATTTAAATCATGATGGCCTGTAACAGTTGAAGCATCTGCAAATTGAAATAAATAAATATATATATATATATACACACACATATATATATATTTTTAACATGTATTGTACTTGAATTATCTCGTGTGTGGACATTTGTACATTTGTATTTAACCTGTACTTGGGCTTCTGACTGAAGTCTCTTAATGTAAAGTTGAATGAGTGTTGGCTTTCCTTTTTTTCCTTGATGTAAAATCAGACTATACAAACTACTTTTTCCTAAATGATTATCAGCTATTGTATTTATTTGGTTCTCATTTTTGTACAGCATTTTTATAAATAAATGTGAAGCCCAGTGTAGTTAATACATTTTAGGTGAAGTACTACAATTACAGATCACCTAACAGTACAGATTCATTTAAAAATGTTTTATCTCTAGCTTTTGTTTAAAAGTCCCGAAATCTTGGAGCAGTTTAAGAGCATTTGGGATTCCTTTTTAGTTGTATTATGGAGTGTTTACTTTTCAGAACAGTTTTGTACAAAGTGCTATAGTCTGTTAGGAAGGTGAATTTTCTTTGGTGTAGTATAGTATACATAGTAAAATCTCACCTTCCATTGGCCCTCTCCTTTCAGACTTCCATATTTTGAAAAAATAAAACTTGAATTTAAATTCATTGTAATTAGTTCTTTTAAACAGAAATGTGGATTTCTCTTTGTTTTGTATTAGTTGAGATCATACATGGCAACCATGAACTAGCATAGTAATCCTCCTGTCCCTTTCTGCCCCATCAGAGTTAAAGATTTGAAAAGTTTGTTGTAATACTAGTTGTGTCCAGGTCAGAGAGGCAGAAATCCGTCGTTAAACTTGCAACCTGAGATTTTGTTGATGTGAGTAATTCCTTTTATAAAAAATTCCCCACTTCTGGAAAAGAATCTTCTTGCAGTTGGCTAGGTTGATTCCCAGATGACATCATCAGACCAGGCCCTTTGTTTTCAGTTACTCTTGGGCATGGCTGACAAGGATCTAAAGCCATCTCTAACATAAGAAACCAGAGTAGATTATATGTTCTGTCCTAATTTCTTAAAGAAGCACTACTTCTGGGTTTTGATTTTTGCTTTTCATTTCCTCCCCATAGTCCATGCTTATGACTAAAAATATAAGCCAGAATTCTTTAAAGTAAACGAAAACCAGTGAATATTGTCAACATATGTTGGGCTGTTTCAGTTATTAAACGGATCATAATTTAATTAGTGTTGTAGTCATATAGGGCCACTCCTCTCCCCACCAGAGTTGGGGACCAATGCCATCACCTTCATGTGACCATTAAACTTAATATGTAAAATGCATGGCTTACATAGAAAGTGTTGTGAAGTATTTTGTAATACCACGAAAACTTGAGACCATATTAAGGTAAGTGTAAATAGAATCTATCTTTTGTAAAACTTGTTTATAACTGTTTGAGCTGCAGCATAAAAATAACGAGGTTTAATTGCTGAATTTTTTACAAAAACATTTACCATTTTATTCTTTGAAAAATATATTTACATTCTACAAAGTTTTTAATAGATCATTTTTCAATAAAGTAACCCAAACAATTTCAAGTATAGAAACATGGCTGCTGAATCAATACATTATTTTATAATTTAATGAATGTAATGCTGTTAAGCCAGTAATGAGAGCTATAACCCAATATAAATAGTTTGGCTTGATGTATTCTCCCTTCTGTATGTTAGAATGGAGAATCAGAGTCCTCTTGACTTGAAGCTAAGGGAATGAGATGAGTTTCCAGCTCTTTCTGCTTCTGGAGAAGGCCCTGAAATCAAATTGGCCTGTTAGTTCATACATCACCAATCACTTCTGAACTTTGAGATTTTACATTAAACGTTACTGTCACCTGGGTCTGTGTGGCTCTGGAGCTGTTCTTAATAAAAACCAGCCGTTCTCAGAAATTTCTTGTTTGGACTTTGTGACTGTGCTACCGCACTTGCAGGCTGCCTCAGTTTTCTAAGAGTGGGGCAGTTTGGCTCTGCTGTGCACTGGATTTCAGACATGGCCTGGCCGTACCTTGATCTGGTGTGGTTGGTCATCAGACCTCCTCACTCAGATTTTATTTCTTCTTGAAAAGGGCACTACACCTCTCTTGGTGAATTGGAGTGGGGGTGGGGGTGTCTTCATTTGAAACAAGACGAGAAGGAACTCCCACCTTTCTGGTGAGAGGTTCCAGATAGGGGCTCTCCCCAGAAGCTCCACATGTGGACTACTGAATGGAAGATTGGATGCATCATATTCAGTAAATACATTCTGTTGCATCACATAAAATCTTCCATTCTGTGAGAGAGCAAACTCTGAGAAACTGTTACTCTTTGTAAAATTGTTTAAGGAAATGGACCATTTCTGAGGAGTTTGCAGAGTAACTTTATTTTGAAGTGATGATACAAATGACATAAAAGCAGCATGGGGCTGAAGAAAGCAAACCATGAAAATTGAGAAAATATCATTACTGATTCACACGCAGCCTGTGTGTTAGAGATCTTTTAAAAAATTTTTTTTAACATACGTAAGTTTTACTCAAAAGAATTTCCATGAAGAACAGCCCAATCCAGTCTGAACAAAGGTGAGTCCAGCTGTAACCCTCTCAGGTGGTTTTGTAGTCTGTGACTTTACTATGCCCAGAGAGGGAGGGTTCAAAAGACTAGGCAGAGGCTGGTCATCCCATCTTGTGGATATGATAGCATTCTCTGAAACCTGGTCAGTCATCGGCTAGAGGAGGCAGACAAAAGGGAGTCGGATGCTCGTTATTTCTTACTGGCTGGGAAAATGAATAGTTAAAACCTGGGTCTGGACAAAAACGGAACTATAAGAATACAGGCAGAATGTGTGAAACTTTGGAAAGCTGCCCAACATCTCACTGTTGTCTGTATGAACCAACATTGTGGAAAGGGCTTTGGGGCGCTTGAGAACTAATATAATTTTACGCTTCTCTTACCAGCTTATGTTCATTATTTTGGGGTTGTGTATAATTGTTTCTTAAAAGTTATTTCAACTTTTAAAAATGTAACTTTTTAATTTAATAAAATCATGTTTTAATTAATGTTTTAGCTGACTCATGATTCTATATTTGGGTTGAATATTAAAATACTAAATTTAACAGCACAGTTTTTCTGGAGTTTGAATCATCCTAATGGTATTTAAATATGGTTTTCTACACAAGTTTCTCAAATGGGCCAAACCTGGTACTGTTATTAGTCTAAATGTCATTTTAGTGTAATACTTAAAACATGAATTCACAGATAACGTTAGTTAATAAGATGCTGGCATGCAGGTTTTAGAACTACAATGTCTGCCATTCACACCTGTCGCAGGTCTGATAGTCCCTTGAGGATTGCTTGTTGTCTGTCTCTGTTTTTCACCAAATTGGGGTTCAGAAGTGGATCTCTCAGCTTGTCAGAGTCAATCATCTGTTCTCGGTAGTCAGAATCTAAAGTTAGACAAAAGGAGGTGAGAAAATATTTCCTGTCACTTCACACGCATTCCATTTAGGTTCAGTTTTTGCATGCCTTTGCATAGCTCACCTGGGGATGGGGAAGGGAATAATAATAAGCATTTATGTAGCACCTAGAATGTGCCAGACACTTTGCCAAGTGTTTACAAATATCTCACTTGATCACCCTGGGAAATAGGTGCTATCATTACCTCCATTTTACAGTTGGATAAACTGAGGCAAAAAGGTTAGGTGACTTGCCCTAGGGTCACTAAGCTGTATCTGAACTTGGGCCTTCCTTGCACTCTATCCACCTGCTTCAGCCAGCTTGGGTATAAAAAGACGTGTGGGGGTGGTAGGTGGGACTGAAAGCATAGTCTGCAGGAGTTTATAAAATCTGGTTGGAGTTTTTTTTTTTTACTGTGAATCAGGAACAGAAAGGAATGTCAAAAGGATGAACCTTATTTTCTACAACTTTTCTCTGAATAATGTTTTTAAAAACTTTGTGGACTCTCCTTAGAATGCTTTGTTTCAGAATTTCACAGGGATCTTCCCGAAATGGTTTTCTTACCATTTAAATAGGGATTCTGAGGATCATAGGCTGAAGGTCTAGATGATGGCACATCTGAATCCAGACAGTAGATTTCATTGGTTCGGACATAGGGGATGAAATGAGGTAGTTCCGGGGGATGAACTGTGTTTGTCTGTTTTAGCTGTGTTTGTTGTAATCGGTTCTTTACCGCTGGAACAGGAGGTGATTCAGATCTGTTTTGAAAAAAGGAATGAACTAGTTGCGGATTTTAGGTTTAAGGATTTCGGCCCACAGAAAGTACAATGTAAAACTGTCCTAAATTTATCTTGTATAAACTTTTATCTTATCATCTCAATTCTTTTTAAAGAAAATACTACTTCATGCTGAAACAATTCTGTAATCTAATCTCACAATGATATTAAAAGGAAAGTAGGACTAAGGGATTCCTTCAGGTTGGTGTTACTTCCCCCAGGGTTCTGTCCTTGTCCTATTTATTTCTTAATTCTTTCCCTTGACAGTTTCAGTTTCCCAGTTTCAGATTTCACCTCTACCAACCAATTTACATTTGTGTTTACAAGTTTGCAGATCTCAAGCCCTGATCTCTATTCCTCTCCCAAATGCTGCCTCTACACTTGACAATGAGCTTCTTTCTTCTGACTCCCATCCATCTGCCCTCACCACTAGCTCTCTGCCTCTTGCCATCAAAGCCTCTACCTTTGCAGTCTCTTCCTCGTCCTATTCCTACTTGCTGCCACAACTGTACAGGCCCTCCTTCCCCTCCTCCGGTACCACCTCAGTGGCCTTGTGAAAGACCCTACGCTTTCCACATTCCAATCCATTGTAAATGCTCCTGCTGGACCGAATCTTCCTCATCCCCAAAGATTTTTGAGCAGAAGAACTTTCTTGGCATTGAAAGGCCTCACCAATCAATCAACGTGCCCATCCCACCTTTCCAGTCAGTGTGAATTCTCTTTCTCTGCCTTTGGGTGCCCATGCTCACTGTGGACCCTACCCACATTTATAGCTAAATTCATGTGCTGCCTTCTGATTACTTCCTCGTCCACACACTGGTATGGACCTATCTGTGGATCAATCTGTGAATGTATCGTAGTCCCCCAACTAGACTGTTAAGATCAAAGGTTATTTAGCACATCTATATCTACATTTGACATCTCTAATACCAGGCATAGTCTTTTATGCAAAACAAGCACTTTGATGCCTGTAAAATTGAAGAAAACTGGTTGGTTTTCTTATACATGGGTATTAATAGCTTCCATTTATACTGTACTTTCAAGGTTTGCCAAACACTTAACAAGGACTGTCTCATTTGAGCCCCAGTGTCCTTATGAACTGGGTATGTTAGGTTCCATTGAGTAAACTCTGGTACTGACTTGCTCACAGGCATGTCCTAGCTCAATGGGACTCCTTGGTGTAGGTCATTTGGCCTCTGTATGAAGCCCCCGAGAGGGGGAGAACACTGTTAGAAAGGTGCTTCTTGGCAAAGCCACCTAACCGCTTCTTGCTCTGTCCAGTTTAGTCTCACAGATGAAACCCTTCCACCATCCCCAGTTAACTCGTGGCATTTGGCCATCTTGGCTTCCTTCTAGATGATTAGTGGTCTTCCTAAAGTGTGCCACAGACTGAACCCAGCCCTCCAGATGGGGGTCTGTCTGGGGCACAGTGCCATGCCGGTATCATTTCCCTAGTTGTCTTGGATACTTTCTCAATGCAGCCTAAGATGACTGAACTGTTTGGGCTACTCTGTTAACACTGTGAACTCACCCGTAGCCAGTCACTGCCAGATGGACAGCTGTTTAGGCTGATACTTGTGAGAATGACTTTGAATGCCTTTAAAACTTGCCTGCCATCTCTATTAAATTCAGCCTATTGTAGTCTGTGACTGATCTCTCTGGACCCTGGTCTGGTGAGGCTTTGTCAGCCAGCCCTCGGCTTTATTAAGTCATTGAGAGATCAGTTTGAATTGAGTCCATCCACCTTTGTCTACTGAAATTCTCTTCATTAAAAACCGCAGCTAAAGCCCTTTTCAGTGAGCCTTCCCTGATCACCTCAGCTCGACTGTTTACTGCATGTCTCCTCTGAAGGGCTTTCTATCTGTAGTGCCTTTTGCTTCCTGAATTCATTTCCTCATTTATAAAACTTGTACTGGGCTTGGTAACTTCAAAAGTATCTTTCAGTTCTCAGACTGTGGCTCCCCAGAAGCCTGCTCTGGTCCTTCAAAACCTATAACATTACAACTGGTCAATACCTTTCTTTACTGGAGTTGATTTTTTTCAATTCTTCTTCCTAAAATTAAGAAAAAGAAAGGCAAACCCAGAAAGTTATTACAACAACCTAGGGGTCATGGCTAAATATATTTTTCAGAGGAAGGGAGTAATTTAGGCTAAACCAGGGCTTCTTAAACTTGTTCTACTCAAGACCCCTTCAGTGCTTTATTAAACTTAAGTTAAACTGTATTAAAATGTAAACGAGATCAGGAGTAAAAAACTCCACTGTCACTGACTTAACCCTCCGGGTCATTATAAAAGCCAACGTTCTGTACTAGCCTTTTGTGGGTACTTTGATGTGCTCACTGTGAAAAACACTAGCATTTTAAAACTAGTATCTGAGGACAGAATAGCATTGAGGCAGGCAGAGTGTCAAGGCAAGCCAATAAGGTTATGCTACTTTGATGGAATCGAGTCCTATTTTAGGGAGTGACCTTGCAGAACTAGAGGCGTGTCTGGTGCCCTCACTGAGCACGTACCTTGTGGCCTCGGGGCCCCTTGGCTCTGGAATCGGCTTCCTCATTGGTGCTTCCTGGAGAGATGTCTCTTGGCCCCGAGAGGCAGCCAGGAGTGTTTCTTTCCAGCAGCTGAAGCAGTTCCATCTGTCTCCTTACCTTTTTTTCTTCCCTCTGCCTCTGCAGGTGTTTAGGGTACCTTTCTGAGGCAGGGACGTACCTCTTGGCTGGCTTGTTTATATTCCAGTCGGGTCTCTTTGCACACTTCCCTTTGTGTTTTTTTTGTTTCTCAGTTCTTGCAAACTGGTCATACAGGTTGTTACGACAGCTGTTTTCTTTCTCTAGGGGAGCTTTCTTGTCCTCTGTCAGCATCTCTTTCTTACTTTTCTTGCTGTTAAATTGTCTGTCCAATTCTACTGAAATCTCAGGAGAGAGGAGGTGTGTGAGCGTGCCCTCAGTCACGGGTTCAGCGTGTGCTTCTGCACTGGTGGCTCTTCCTGTGTGCAAATCCTCTACGTTAAAAAGAGATTTGGGATTACTTCTTTTGTGTCCCCCAGGAGGGCAGGGCGAAATTCTGTAAGTTTTGTTTCTCTCCAGTTCAAGTTGGAGCACAGAGAGCAAGATGAAGCGTCCCCTTAGACAGAAGTCCTCAGTAGGTAGCTAATAAGATGATGATGTTAAAAGTAGGGGCCACCCAAAAGCCAGGGGAGTACAAGTCACTTCTGCTTGGGAGTTGATTTCAAGACAGAAGTAAGAAGTGTTTTTTGTTTTGAAATCTAATTTAACATTTGGATGGGGGGAAAATGTCCTTCAATTCCGATAGTAAAGATGGGAAGGAAGCAAAGGGACAGATCCAGAATGGGCTCCTTCCCACTAGAGGACGGACCGAGATGCCGAGGCTTCAGAGGGGAAAGAACATCTTAAACGCTCCGTCTGCTAAACTGTAAATTCCATTGGGGAAATGCCCGTATCTTGGTTCCTTCCTAATATTGAGCACATGATTTAACAGAGGTTGAATTGAGCAGGACTGGCTGGTTAAATAAGGAACACATGAACACCAGAGGACGCTTTACAAAATTAGGCCCCTTCATGCCTTTCCAAGTGGACTGTGCCACCAGTCAACTCAGCTTGCTCGTCTGAATTTCAGCATGCAGTGATGAAAGCCGAGCTGAGCTGGCAGCACCCCATTCAGGGGCCTCAAGTGGGGAATCCTCAGGGCTGGAGAACAGGTGGCTCAGCTCATATCCCAGCACAGAGATGGGATGACAAGAAAAAAAACCACCTGAACTGTTCACTGTCCCTCACCTCCCACAGCCTCTCTCAAATCCGCCCCCACCCTGGCATAGGTCCTCATCACCTCAGGCCTGGACCACTGCAATGGGGATGTGGGGTGGGGTCTGCCTGCCTTCAGTCCATCCTCCTCTTGGTTCACCCCTTGGGGCTCTGTCACCTCCAGGCTCGAATGCAGAACTCTCTGGTTGTCATTCAGAGCCCATGGGGACTGTCACCCCCCGCCCCAAGTCAGCTAAAACCCCCCCACCTATAAGCACCTTTCCTGAGGCCACCCTCTGAAAGGGCCTCTTCAGCCCTTGTGTCCACCCCCCCCCCCCCCCCCGGTGCCTGGCACACAGTAGGTATATAGTAAATGCAGCCCAGCTGACCCTGTTATCTGCAAACCTCACTCATTTACGGCAGGGTGAAGGATAACTAACACCCTTTTCACATATTAGGAGACTGAGGCAGGCAGGGCACAGAGCTAGTAAGGGGCTAAGCCTGGATTCCACATCCACTGTTCTTTTCAGCTGCTTCCTATGACTCTTCATTTTTAAACTGAGGTGAACTCCCGTTGTTTCAATTAAGACAGTTCAGTAACTTAACAGGCAAATCCTAATTTCTGAACCCAGTACCTGTCTGTACGGCAGTATCCTTCCGAGGAGAGGCGGCAGTGTTGATTCCTTGACTGACCTTAGCGCTCACTTGGTCCAGACTCTGCTCCGCCGACATCGCCTCGCCTGGCAGGGGAGAAGAGGGGGCTCAGAACTCAGGGCTCCCAGGGCACTCCCAGAGGAACCTTGAATTGCTCACGCTGCCACAGATAAAGTACCAGTAAAAGGGGAGGTGACCGGACCACCAACGTCACCATCAGTATAAATTCACATTTTTCTATTTATTTCTGATCGCTTTTGCTGTAGCAGGAAAAGACGAGAAACTAGTCAGGAGAGAATGAGAGCACGAACTTGAAGGTAGCGGCTCCTCACATCTTCCTGGCCCCTCAAAGAGGTGTCGACCTAACTGAGCCTCAGTTTGCCAGGGAAGCCCGTAACAGATGCTGACCTCACAAAAACCTCGGGAGGGAGGCGGGTGCTATTGTTATCCCCACTTTACAGATAAGGAAACAGAGGCACACAGAGACTTGCCCAGAGCCACAGAACTAGTGAGCTGTTGGAGGTAGGATTTGAACTTGGGTCTTCCTGACTCCAGGCCCAGTGATCTGTGCATTGTGGTGCCCCCTGGCTGCCTACACCTGGGGTCAGAAAGACCTGAGTTCAGATTCTGCTTCTGACACTGACACTTGAACCCCTCTTTGCTCATCTGTAGTAACTCTGTCATGGCCACCCCATTCCTTTCTGCCCCTCAAGGCAATGGAGTAAAATTAGAATCCCTTTCCTCCAGGACCAAATCTTTGCCATATATCAAGAAGGCAATCAGGGCTTTCCCTCTCTTCTTGGGATGTCTTTTTTGTTTTAAAAGAGCAAGACAGGAACAAAAGTCCCAGTTGTGCCTGGGGCTAACGACCCGCCCCATTCCCCTCTCCCCTGCTCACCGCCAAGATTCCTTAGCAGGTTGGAAATGTCATGGCCCTTCTGCTCCAGCTGGCGGATACGCTGCTCTTGCTTCAGTCTCTGTGCCAGCTCCTGGGCCTTCTGCATGGTCTGATACAGCTCGTTTGTCTTAAGAGTCATCATTTCCTATTATGAAGAGAAACGTGTAAAGGGAACCGAGTCTCACGCTGCCTCCTTCCATCTAGGTTCTAGAGAGGATTTTTTTTGCTTATCATGTCAATCTTTTATTCCTTAAATACACGAGACACAAATAGAAGATGCTGTTTAAACACTATTTATTTACTATTCACCAAGTTAAGAACTCAAGTCAGTCCCTGTATACATCTATAATGAATTTAAAATAGGCATACCCTGTAACACAAAGGTTAGTATTTTTAATTATTAATTTCTTCACATTTATCTTTTTTTAATCAAATGAGGTTTTATTAAATGAGACATATGAATTAAGTGAGGTTTTAATAAATGACATATTGAATGACATAGCAGCTTCCAGTCTGGATGAGTGTATGAGGCTGGTTCAACAAGCCTTTATGAACCACTTACTAGGCGCCAGAGATTGAGCATTCCACATACAAGGAGAAACAAAACGGCCTAGGATCTGCTGGGAATTAGGAATGGCCTCATGTCGGACGTGGCGCTTAAGCTGAGCTATGAAGGAAAACGGGTGTTTTAGGAGGCCGGGAAAGAAGTCTGTGACGGCCTGGGCAAAGGCCTGGGGACGGAAAGTCCTATGTGAGGAAGAATGTGCAGGCCAGTTTGGGAGCAACGTGTAGTAAGCCTGGAGAGGTGGGCACCTGAGCAATGCCATTCTGGCAGTGGTTTGGAGCAGAAAGAGAGCTGTGAGTGGGGAGATGGATCGCTTCAGTAATCCAGGTGAGAAGGATGGTGCCTGAACGGTGGTGGCCGACTCAATGACCAGAAGAGAGAGACAGGAGACACGGAGGATGCTCGGGCTCCCTGTCTGGCACCCAGTACGCACTGGTTTGGTACTGGAATGCAGGAGTGACCCGGCTGGAAGAGAGATTTGTGAAGCCTCTGGAGCTGGTGAGGTCACTGAGGCAGTGCAGACACAGAAGAGGGCCTAGGATGGAATGAGGGGCATACCCAGAGCTGGGCAGGCTAGCAAATGAGGGTGGAGGACCATAGAAACCTAGAGAAGAGAGAGGGCAGTCAACATCGTCACGCTACAGAAAGATCAAAGATGGAGACTGAGAAAATGGGACTGGTCTGGAAATTCGGAGATCCTTGGTACGTGAGCTAATGCACTTAGCACAGTGCTTGTGCACACAGTAGGTTGCTTAACACATGCTTGCTTCCTTCCTGCCTTCAAGTGGGATGTTGTAGTGAGTGAAGAGGCTGGATGCCAGATTGCAAGGGGTTGAGGAGGGACGGGAAGTGGAAATGATGTGTTGACTTTGGCTTTGAAGGGAAAGAGTGACAGTGGATAGGTATATAGTGGATATATGTGGACAGGGATGCTTGTTTTTTAAAGAACGAGGGACACTTGGGCATGTTTGTAGGGACTGTCACCCACAACGCAGCATTCATGAGCTCTCTGGATCTGATCCAGCCCACTTTGGGGGTCCAGGGGAGCTAAGCCCACAGGACACAAAGGGAGGAACCATTTCCCTTCTTGGCAGGTCCAGAGCCACGAAATGCGGGCCTGGCCTGGCTGAATCTACGGTCTCCCTCACACGTAATTTATATTTGTTTTCTTTCCATTTACTCTGTATATAATTGTAACTGTCCTTGTCGTCTCCTCTGGACACAGGGATCATTTCATGCATCGTATCTGTCTGCAGAGTGCCTGGCGCTGAAGCGCTGAACAGAATGCCAAGTGATTAACGGAGAGACTCCAGGGAGATGAGTTACTGATAACAAGAACAGAGAAGAGTTACACGGCACTTCGAAGCTGACCGCAGCACTTTACACATGTTCATCTTCACAACAACTGAGACAGGTGCGATTCTTATCCTCTTTTAGATGAGGCACCTGGGGCAGACAGCAATTTAGGTGACGGCCCAGGGGCCTGCAGCTACTGAGCAATCGCCATGGTCATAGCTAACATTCATATAGCGCCTCCTCTGTGCCAGGCACTTCACAATTATCTGATCCTCACAGGAAGCCTGGGAGGCAGGAGTCATGATGATCCCCATTTTACAGTTGAGGAAACTGAGGCAGACAGTGGTGAAGTGACTCGCCCAGGGTCACACAGCTAGGCTCTGAGGTTGCACTTGAACTCGGGTCTCCCTGACTCCAGTGCTTTGTCCACTGGGCCGCTTTGGTGCCTCACAATTTCATGAGAGAAGAGAGGGCGCTGGTCATCAGACGCTGCAGTTGTTTTCTTCAAGTCACCTAGCTCTGAGATACACTTCAGTCCTGTGAGCACCTCCGGTGGTTTCAAAAACAAAATAATTCTGTCTTAAAAACTTTAACAAGGGGCAGCTGGGTGGCACCGTGGAGAGAGCACCCACTCTGAAGTCAGGAGGACCTGAGTTCAGATCCGGCCTCAGACCAAACACATGCCTCTTACTAGCTCTGTGACCCTGGGCAAGTCACTTTACCCCAACTGCCAAAAAACAAAACAAAACAAAAACTTTAACAAAGCGATTTTTCCTTCGAGCCTTGCCAGTGTATGTGGAGCCTCTCCCCCGCGTGGGACGTGCCCCGTGTAAGCTGCAGAGCGTGTTATTTCGGTGAAGCCGGGGTGGGTGTGGGCTGTGTGGGCTGGACCGGCAGAGCCGGAGACCATTATGGGGCGTCTGGGCCATTCCCCGCTTCGCTCTCAGCGATTCTTCCGATAGCGTCGTCCTGTGATGGCTCCTCGGAGCGTGAAGGTGAAGGCCAGGCCTTGCAGCCCACATGCTGCGGAAGCACAGTCCTGCCCTCGGGGGCACCGCACACTGGGCGTCAGGGTCTGTGGTCTTGGGCCCTGCGCCGGCTACATGGGATGTAGCTTTGTGTTTGTGGAGGGAGAGCCTCTATCGATGCAATCAGATGTCTTGGATAGGCCATGAGCACCCGGGAGTGCTGTGCTTGGCGTCAGGAAGAGCAGAGTTCAGACCCAGCCTCCAGGTATTAGCTGTATGACCCTCGGCGAATCACTTGACTCCTGTTTGCCTCAGTTTCTTCCTCTGTGAAATGGGGATCATCACAGCACCTCCTTCCCAGGGTGGTTGTGAGGTCCAGACAAGACACCTGCGAAGTCCTCGTGAGCACAGGGCCTGGCCCACGGGCATGACTGAGATGATAACTTTTCACACTTTCCTTTACCGTGAGCAGGTCAGGCCACACCCAGGCAGCAGCACCGTGGACGCTCCAAAGTAGGGCCTTCCCGCAGGAGGACACTTCGCTGCCCTTCCGGACGGCTCCAACTGTCAGCACGTCTCTCTCTCCCAGGGAGCTGCAACGCACCTTTGTGCAACGTGCCATCGAGCTCCCGGCTATCCGAGGGCAAAGCCAAACCAGCCTGAATGCATGTGAGAACTCTGTGCCTGCTGCGTGTGCCAGACGCTGGGAGACCACAAAGAAGGAGCTTAGAGTGTAACGGAGGTGGCAAGTACACACAGAGCTACCAAACACCCACGTGTTCCAAAGTGGCTAAACACAAGGTAGTCTGGGGGGATTTAAGCAGAACCTGGTGCCTGGGCTGTCTTAGAGAGAGCGACTCAATGAGGCAGAGGTAAGAAGGGAGCCTGCTCCAGGCATGGGGAACAGCCAATGCAAAGGTGTGGAGATGGGAGATGTCCTAGGAGTTCTGTGGATAAAGCAGAGCTTTACTGTGCACTGACTGCATGAATACAATGGCCAATAAGACTGGAAAAATGGGATGGAGCCAAGTTGTGCAGCACTTTAGGCCCCAGGGACAAGTGGAAGCCACGGGGGCTGGCTGAAGAGGGAAGCCAGATCCACACCTGGCCATGGTGTGAGATGCACTGGACAGCCAAGAGAGTCCTCTGCCTGGGGGCACCTTCTGGATCCGTCCTCCCACTTTCTGCATGTGCCTTTTCAAGCTGAAGCTGGCTGAACGGAAAGCCGGCTCTTCCTGTGAGTGCAGACTCGCCTTTCCTCGCTGGACATCACACTCTCCTCCTCTGATGCTCCCCAGTGGCCTCCAGGTAATCCTTCTACCACTTTCAGAGAGTTCATCCCCTGGCTCAGCGTCTTCCTGCCCAGCCCAAACTCTGACCTCTGGGGACTCCGACATCGAGGTTCCCTGGACAACAAGCCATCCTCCTTCAGGCGCTTGTTAGAGGCTGCAGGCACTGTGCAAAGTTGTGGAGAGAAGAAGAACACGGCAGCTCATGCCGAAGCAAAGGGCTGAGCTGGGCCTCCAGCCTGGGGCCGGGAGATGAAGTGCTCCAGAACTCCTCCCATGTCCCCCGTCTTCCCTGCCCGCCGCTCCCCCAGCACAGAAGCTGGATTCCTATTTGGCCCCTACCCCCTCTCCTCTCCTTTGCTCCAGTCTGATGGACTGTCCGCTCTCACTTTTTCAAGGCCAGCCCCCCTGGCGCTCATCTGTCGTCTCCTGGATCCTCTGCAGCCTCACTGCCTTCCTTTCACTTCTCATCTCTCGTCAGCCACCAGCCCCGGAGTTGGCCCGATCCCCGCCTCTCCCGCTTTCCTCCCTTTCACCGCTGACACCCTGGTCTGCCCCGTTGCCTCTGCCACCTCTCGCTTCCCTGCCGTGTTGCTCCTGGCGCTGGGGCTGGTCCAACCTGTGTGACTCGCCCCACTCTGCCTTGGTTTACTTAGGGAACAGCTTTCTGCAGCTCCTGATGCCTCTTTCAGACCCACAGAATTCCTTCTGGCATTGTCCTATCCGGCTCTTCCCTCCATGGGTCAGTCCTGACCACTGTCCACAAGGTCCCCAGCTGCTTTGCTGTCTTGTGCACAGCCACAAGGGTTCCTATCCTCTTCCTTTTTTCCTGTACTGAAGGGGCCTCCTCAGTTTTTCAGTTTCCTCATCGCTAATACTTTTCAGGCTGCTGCCAAGCTGATCTTTCAGAAAAAGATCTCACTGTATCACTTTTCTGCTTAAAAACAACCACTGGTTCTCCCCTGTTTCCAGAATGAAACCCAGCATCTTCTGCCTGGCAGCTGACATCACGTTCTTCCCGTCTCGCTCGGCTTACTTTGTATTACTCCCCTTTGTTCATTTCCAGTCAAACGGACCCAAATGCCTCTCCAGTAAACCACATTTCATCTCCCGCTTCCCAGACTGGGAATGCACACCGTCCTTCTTTCTGCTTCTCCCAGGGATCAGCTCTCGTGCCGCCTCCTACAGAACGACCCCTCTGGATCACTTCCAGAGCTCTGTACCTGCCCTGTGGCCATGCCGTGACCTTCCCGGGGCGGAAGCTGCTCCATTTTGGTTTTGGAATCCCCAGTGCCCTGCACATACAAATGTTTGCTGGACTGAATCGAGGACTTCCCTTCAGGGCTCCCTCAGTCAATGTGCTTCCTTCTTTCTTTCATGATTATTTGTGTTTGTACCATCAGAACTTCATTGTGGAGGGCATCCCCTTTGGAGTAGTAGTTAAGAAAGGCCTCATTCCTCACAAGGTAAGTGGTCCAAGGAAATGAACAAACCATCGTTGAAAGAAGACTGACAAACTGCGAACAGCCTTACGAGAGAGGACTCCAAGTCACAAATGAGAAGGGAAATGCCAAATAAGAACCCGTGGGTTTCACCCCGAACCTAGTAAACTGGCAAAGAGGACAAAGATGGGGAGAGGCACGCTGATGCATCGCTGGGGAAGCTGTGAACAAGGACAGCTCTCTGGAAACCAGTCGGAAGGATCTAAGTGGCCACATCGTTCACATCTTAGACCTAGAGAGTCACTGTTTGGCATTTAACCTGAGGACAGAGAGAAAGCCTCCAGAGACACTTAAATGTCCATAGCGACACTTTCTGTGAGGCAAAGAACTGAAAACAAAGTAGATTTCAATCCACTGGAGAAGAACTGAACCAAGTGTGCTGCACGAGCACGATGGAGTGTCGAGAAGCATGGAAAGATTTCACTGAGCTGATGCAAAGCGAAGGCGGCAGAGCCAAAAGACAACACTCCCTCTTGACAATCTAAACACAAAGAGCCTCCTCAACAATTATAAACGAATGTGGTAAAAGCAGAAAAGACAACCCGGCCCCAAAAAAGAGGGATGAGAAGACAGCCTCCCCAGCCTCTGCAGAGACGCAGCGTCCCCAGATATGCACCTGAAAAGAAGGCTGCATCTCTCTGTTAATGCGCTCACTGCTTCTGCTGACATTTTCCCTCTACTTCTTTTTAAAAAGATTCTGTTTTAAGGAATGACTTTCTGGGAGACAGAGGGTTACAGGGGGAAATCCAGGAGATGTAAAAGCAAAAGATAACACCTACTTCTTCAAAAGCATCTTAAGACAAGGTGTCTTGCCATCCTATTAACTCTTCGCTTCCAGAAAACTGGGGGGGGGGGCCCACACGGCAGAAGCCACGGGGCATGGGAAACCATGATTTTTACTTCTACAACTTCCCCATCTGTCCGCTGTACAGGCCAACACAGCTGTTCTGCTTTTAGGAGAGAGAGCACCAGTGAAAGTCGCCCCCATTCTGACGCTCGCCTGGTCCCACACACGCTCCCTGCATTCATTGTCTGCTTCCTGCTGGTTTTCACAGTCCACGACATACGCTCTGGCCACACTATCATTTCCATGGATACTCTGGTTCAAAAACAGACACGAGGAAACAGATAAGTGGCTGGGGCTACAGAGCCACCTGACTATTCCAGCACACTTTTTATTGAAAGGCACGTACCCTTTCATTCCCATATTCTGGTCGTACTCTAAGACACCAATTAGGCTATGTTCATTTCTCGTGTTCTGATTTCTAATTGGTTTTTGTATTTGCATGCTTTACATCTGCGGCTAGAGAGCTGAGGCTGTAAACGTCAGGACTATCCCGCCTTCTTGGATGCTATAAATCACGTCAGTCTTCTCCTGGGTTGTAGCTGGCGCTCTAGGTGGTGCCTTAACGGTGAAATGAGGTTTTTTCTTTTCGATTCCAATTCAAAGCTCTCTTCAGGTGTGCAGGTTGAGCTCTGAGAACCTATCTTCCTTGATCTATAAAACTGGAAGAGATCTCAAAGATCCTCCCTACTTGCAGGCAAATATATTCTGGCTATTGTTAGCTATGCTCCTTCCCTGGCTAAAGGCCTGTCATTCCTGTTTTTTAATCTCTGATTTGAAATTCAAATTTTATTCTCTGTCTTCTGAATGAGCTGTTCACTTCCTCTCTGTAGCCTCATTTTCCCTCTAAGACCCTTATCTTCAGCCAGCAGTAGCTAAGGATTATGAAGTCCTGAGCAAAGACACTGGAGCCCTGAGAAGCCAAAGTGATATTTTAAAACTCACTGCTCCTAACTGAAGCTGGAGATTCAGAAGAGAACAGCAGGTTGACAAGATGGCATCTGAAAACAAGGTTTGTATTTCTGGCCCACAGCTTAATATATGATACGAAGGCCAGATTTCCTCTTGGAGGTGGAGCCCAACTAACAAGGCAAATACAAATATGTCTGGAGTCTTCAGAATCTCATCGGGAAGGCTTTAAACCAAGAAAGCAAAGAGTGCTGTAACTGTACATCTGCCAAACCTGAGGCCACACAAAGCAAAAGGAAGAAGAAAGGAAGCGTAATTACTTTTCTTTGTAAATCCAGTGTTTAGCACACGGCCTGGCCCACACTAAGTGCTTAACAAATGTATGTTGACATGACTTGACAATTTGTAAACATGATTATCAAAGAAGAGAGTTAGCAATAAAATCTTTAGAGGCCTAAATATGAAGGATGCTGACCACCACCTGCACGGACAACAAAAATGGATTTTAAACAACTCTACTGAGGGAAGAGACAGTGAGCCCCTAAGGGTCCTCTATGGTAACAGATTCGGAGCCTATGGTAAGTAAGGAGATGAGTCACCAAGACAGGACAAAGGATGACGTAGGGGACCGAGAGGGGCAGCATGTCTGTTAGGCCACCTTCGGTGATTCTGCAAAGATCTTGGACAGGAGGGGGGCCACCACACCTCTTCAACTTTTGAAAATGCTTAAGTAACACAACAGAAGAAATTTTCTGGATTGCTCCAGAAAATCTTGTTAAATGTCCAGGTGTGGCCTAATATTTGGAGCTGGGTTCTAAAGGAGCCACTCTGACCTTCTCACCCGACCATGGTGGTAAAAGGAAGCAGCTTGTTATCACCTTCTAAGTCAGAACAACTTTGGCCTGGAAGGAACAAGGGCTGAGCCTAGGAAGAAAACTTAGGGGAAGGACAGGGCAGGCCTCCTGGAATCCCCCAGGACAGGGCTCTGTGCTTTGGGTGGGCAGGAGGAAGAGCAGAGAATTCTATAGACTTCGGCAATTCTAGATCTGTGGTGCGGATTCCTTTTACTATCTTAATATTGACAGAAAGTCATTTACTTATTTTGGCTGTAAGAGACCCAACAGACGTTTAAAGAACACTTGTTGACGTAGTCACTAGTATTCCCTGTTTTAAAAGCTAGCACAGACAACTACCTGAAAATATCTATGAGCAAATACAACTTTCCTCTTTTTAAATGTTCTCATTGTCACCTCACCATAAACTCTCATGGTTATAGTCAGTATGGTAAAAATAATCCCAGGCTAAACCAGAGCCCACCTTTCTTCCACACGATGGGCGTGATCACTGACGTTCCAACGAATCATGTGACAACTGTTCTTTCTTCGAGGGTTCCCCTGGACTTTCCCACTGGAGATGGAGGCAAAGCCTCGGCTGCCTTTACCCTACCACAACTGTATTTTCTACAAGGCGGAAATCCGGTCACTGTTTCTGGTTTAACGGTTTCCCTCCAGCTTTCTCCTCTTGTAAGTGAAGAGGAAGCAGCCTCCACAGATCGGTCCTCACTCACCTCCTTGCGCCTCTGCTGCAGCAGGTCTTCCTCAAACCGCCTCCGCATCTGCTCTCGCTCCTGGGCCAGGCGACGCTCTTCCTCCTCCTCCTCCTGCCTCCTCTGCTGCTCCTCCAGCTGCTTCTTCCTTCGCTTCTCCTCCACCTGGGCAGTGATGGCCTTCTAGTCACAAAAAAAGACAAGACACAGTGTTGACGGTCCAGGTCCAAGAGAAACGGTCGCCACTAACCTGCACAAAAGGATTCCTACCTATGTTACCATCTATGTTCTAGGTATTTCTGTTCGGTTAAATATTTCCCACTTACACGTTCATCTGGGATGGGGGAGAGTTGCAGAGCACCCTGCAGCCCTTTTCTACCCTGCAAAGGAATAATACTTAATCTCTTTTTGGATTTCCCCCGCCCTGATTTTCTAGAAGGAATGCTTCATAGTCTTCATTCCTTAGAGGGTCAGTAAACCCTGAAATGAAGTTTGGCAAGAGATGTGAATAACGTGCAATAGTCAATCAACATGTCCTAAGCGCCTACTAAGTGCCGGGCACTGTGCTAGCAGCTGGGGAGACCAGAGAGGCTCCTGATCCACGAGGAGACAACAGGCTACTTCTCTGGCCATTTGCTGCCACCGCCCAATCCCACGGCCTCGTCTCTCTCTCGACCTCTCTGCAGCCTCTGATGGTTCTCCGCCTACCTGTCTGACCACTTACTCTCAGCCTCCTTTGCTGAATCTCAGCCCAGATCACTGCTAATTGTAGGTGTGCCTCCAGGCTCTGTCCTGAGGCACCTTCTCTTCTCCACCTGTGCCATTCCCATTGGTAATCACAATCCCTTGGATTCCACCATCACCTCTATGTGGCAGGTCCCTGGATCTCTTGGTCTCTCTCCACATTCTCCCCTGACCTCCAATCTTGCAGTTCTAACTGCCCACCTCAAACCGGATGTCCTAGAAACATCTTCAAACTCCCAATGCCCCAAACTTAACTCACTTCCCCCCCGCCTCCTCCTGAAATCCTTTCCTCTCCCTACCCACCCTATTACTGTAGAGGGCACTACCCTCCTCCCAGTGCATCAGGCTCACAACCTTGGACTCACCTTCAACTCCTCACTAGCTCCCACCCCACCCCCCATATCCAGTATGGTGCTGAGGCCTACGCTTCCACAGCATCTCTCCCGTACGCCCCTTTCTCTCCTCTGATGCTGCCATTACTCAAGGGTAGGCCCTCATCCCCTCATGCCTCGACTAGTGCCTTCTGGTGGGTCTGCCTGCTTCAAGTCGCTCCCCACTCCAGTCCATCCTCCAGATGATCTTCCTAAAGGACTGACCACGTCATCCTCCAATTCGTCAAACTCTGGTGGAACCCTATCACTACTGCTAGGGTCAAATGTACATCCTCTGTTTGGCATTCAAAGCCCTTTCTAACCTATCTACCCATCAATCAATCAGTCAGCATTTATTAAGCACCAACTACGTGCCAGGCACTGTGCATACAAAGGGAGGCAAAAGACAGGTCCTACACTCAAGCAGCTTACGAGTCCAATGGGGGAGACAACGTGCAAACCAATGTATATAAAGCAACCCCCATGTAGGATGAGTAGGAGACAATTAACAGAGGGAAGGCCTTGGAATTCAAGGGACTGGGGAAGGCTTCCTGGACAAAGTGGGATTTCAGTTGGGACTTAAAGGAAGCCAGAGAGGGCAGCAGTCGGAGTGGAGGGAGGAGAAAGGCATGAGGGACATCCTGGAAGAGGAACTAGGGGGGCAGCTAGGTGGCGCAAGAGATGGAGCTCGGGCCTTGGAGTCGGGGGGACCCACATTCAAATCTGGCCTCAGACACATGAGGCCTGTGACTAGCTCTGTGACTCTGGGCAAGTCACTTAACCCCCGACCGCCTCACCAAAAAGCAAAAAGAAACCAAATGAGTAACTAGAGCTGAGAGACTGAGTGTCTTGTTTTCAGAATAGCCACGAGGCCACTGCCACTGGATTGAAAAGCATGTGTCGGGGAATAAGGTGTTAAGAAGGCTCGGAGGGATAGGAAGGGGTACGTTATGAAGGGCATGGAATGCCAAAGAGAGCATTTTGTATTTGATCCCAGAAACAACTGGGAGTCACTGGAGTTTAGTGGGGGGGAAGGGAGGAACGGGGACATGACCAGAACTGTGCTTTAGGAAAATCCCTTTAGTGGCTGAATGGAGGATGAATCAGAGTAGGGAGAGACTTGAGGTAGGCAGGCCCACCAGCAACCACGGCCACAATCGAGGTGTGAGGTGGTGGGGGTCTGGGCAGCGGAGAAGGCATGTTACAGGGACGCTGCAGAGGTGAGAGCACAAGCTGTGACGACAGCTTGGATGTGGCAGCTGACAGACAGTGGGCAGTCCTGGATGATGCCTGGCTTGGGAGCCTGAGGGAGTGGTAGCAGGGGGTTGCCCTCGACAATAAGAGGGAAGGTAGGAGGGAGGAGATTTTAGGGGGGAAAGATGAAAGAGTTCTGTTCTGGCCATGTTGAATTTGAGATGTCTGAAAGGCAGATCTGAGAATCGTCGGCACAGAGATGGCGATTAAATCCAGGCAAGCTGATGATGAGGCCTCCTTCCACCCACAACTCATCCCACGCACTCTTTGATCCAGCAACACCGGCCTCCTCAGCATTCTTTGCAGAGAGCACTCCATCTCTCCTCAGAGCCTTTTCGTTGGCTGCCCCAATGCCTGGAATTCTCTTCCTCCTCATCATAGCCTGGCTTCCTTTGAAGCTTGAGCTAAAATTCCACCTTCTACAAGAAGTCTTTCAGTGTCTTTCCTCTAAGGCTGTCTCCACTCTGCCCCTGCACGCGTACCGGGGCTGTACGAAGCTCTTTGCACGTTGTCTCCTCCATCAGCCTGGGAGCTCCATGAGAACAAGGCCCAGATTTTTGCCTTTCTTGATATTCACTCCTTGTACAGAGCAGTGCCTGGCACATAATAAATGCTTAACAGATGCTTGCTGACTGATAGGTCCTAAAGCCACTGGAATTTATTGAGTGGGGCGGGGATTACAGGGTCACTGGGCATGGTGTCAGGAAGAACTGAGTTCAGGTCCAGGCTGAGACACTTACCAGCTCTGTGACCCTCGGGCAGTCAGTTAACCTCTAGTCACCTCAGTTTGCTCAACTATGAAAGAATAAGAGCACCCATCTCACAAGGTTGTTGTGAGGCTCAAATAAGATGACACATGGAAAGCACTCAGCACAGTGCCTGGCATGCAGCAGGTGCTTAATAAATGCTCATTTCCTTTCTTCTCAGATGGGCCTCCTTTGCTCCATTCAGACAGCTACCAGTCTGGTTGTGGCATTCATTGCCTCTCATCTGAACTCTTTGAATAGCCTTCTAATTATCTGCTTCCTTAGATCTCCCCACTCCAATCCATCCTTCTCAACAGCTGCCTTGGGACCAATAACTATGCAATCCCCTCCTCCTCAATAACTACAGTGGCTTTAGGACCTGTCAGTCAGAGGGAGGGCGGGACCAAAGGTCCAGGGAGCCGGGTTGGTTCTGTCAAAGAGAAGGGCAGCCTGCCCCTTCATCGGAGACTGGACAATGAAGAGATAGTGGGGGAGAGGAGAGGAGATTTTGGGACGTTTTTAACTCACACAGTTCTCCTAAATATTTAACTGCTTCATTCTGTTTTCTAAGAAAATCATATAAACATTTTAAAATACTGCACATGGCTAAGACTATACAAAATAACTTTGATATACAATGTTTCAGTGAGCACCTCTAGAAATCACTCTACTATTTAAACTGGGATGCTTCAGACCACCTGAAGGGATGAACGGGGGAGGTAGTGACAGAAAATGGACACAGTTATGAACAAAGAAAGCACTGAAAAGGCACAGCTGATGCTCTGCCATTTTGTCTCTGTGCCCACCTAGAACCAACCCACATGTGGACAAGAACCTTCTACAAGGTACTTGCTACATGACCATTTAAAGATGCCTGACAAGGGCAGCCGCCCACTCCATGTTAAGGCAGTTCTCCCGATCCGGCCCAGAAGTCCCTCTCTGCATATTCCACTGACCCTCCCAACAGTGCCCTTTAGGACTGATCAGAATAAGTCTGAATTCCAGAACTCCAGCAGACTTGAAGAGAGCTCTCATGTTCTCTTCTAAGCCTACTTTTTATAGGATCAAAGCCCTACTTCTTTCAATAGATCTATGGATGGTATGTTCTTTCTCACCTGAACATGGTATACCAGAGTTGGCCTACACAGGACAGTTCTGTCATAACTACCAATTTTTTATTTCAGTCAAAGAGAAAGATCTGATTCAGCTTTTTTTTTTTTTTGCTTTTCAGTGAGGCAACAGGGTTAAGTGACTTGCCCAGGGTCACACAGCTAGTAAGTGTCAAGTGTCTGAGGCCGGATTTGAACTCAGGTCCTCCTGACTCCAAGGCTGGAGCCCTATCCACTGCACCACCTAGCTGCCCCCAATTCAGCTTTTTTTTAGTGGACACAAGAAAGAAACTTTCACAAAGATCAATCTTGCCAACCCAATTCTGGAATGGAAACAGGAAAGTGGACCAGAACCTTTGCTCTGGATTTCAACTAGTGTGTTACAAGGTTACTCTTAAGAGTCCCTGGTGTACTATGAACAAGAGTGATGACATCCTGTTTACTCAAGAAAAGAGGGAACTTTCTCCCACTGACTCCTAATCTTGCAGAACCTTAACATGGGAAAGGGAGTTGAACTTAGCATCAGAGCTGAGGAAATGACCCAGGAATGTCCAGATGACTCAGCCAAGTCATCCCCTGCATCTGAAAGTAGCAAAACAACATCAAGAGCCTGTTTTGTAGTTCAGACTTTCCACTAGTATAAACTCACCCAAGATAACCCAGTGTGCCTGATCCCCGAGCCCCACACTCTTTCTCTGGCCCCTGCCAAGTCTCACAATGGAAAAGTGATCACAACAAGAACAGGTTTCAGTGAATGAAGCCGCTGAGGCTTTACTCATCAGTGGCTTCTCCCAGATGTCTCATTCATTCCTCGTCCCTCCCACCACCTTGTCATGCAGCCTCCCGGGCACCTGCTCAGCAGCTCTCTCAGTGAGCTGGCTGCCAGATGTTCCAGCACGAGCATCGCCGAGAGTTCTGGCCAGCGCTCTTCTTGAGAGATTTCAGAGATGTCCCAAATTAACTGGCCCCCACAATTCTCCTCTGCTTATTTTCCTAAAAACTACCATAAAATGCCTAGGTTTTGTTCCTCTCCTGACAAGCTCAGCCTTCCTTTCCTGTCGTGGTCCTTGTTCCATTTGCTGGTGCTAAAATCTCCAACCCCTTCCTGCCTCAAGGAGCCGCCTCCCACCAACCTGGGGTTCTTTCTCACCACAAAGGAAGATTCAGAAATAGGTTCAGGCATGCAGTTCTGAGAAACAACAAAAACTCCTGTAACTAAGATCTGTAGAATTACAAATAAGTTCTAGCAGGTAAAATTCTGCCTTGTATTCTTGTGAACCAGGCCAGGGGCTCAGTCTACTACATTTACTTTACATATAAGGGCCTGAAAGGCTGAAATGAAATCAGAAAACAAAACACACCCAGGGCTAACTTAAGTGTTACACAAATTTACAGAGAAGGTAGACATATTTAAGTAGATCATCATCCTAGGAGGCTATTTTTCCCTTGGTCCCACATAGCAATACGATCATAATTCTTTTTTGGCAACAGAAAGGAAAACTCGAGGACAAGACAAGAACTCTAAGGTGATTTTCTGGGCCCCTAAGCAAAAATTTCAGAAAGAGATCCTTTACACCAGGACTTTCAATTTTCGTATTCTATGATATCATTTGAAATAATTTAATTTTACCACTGAGGCAGCGATTGAAATTTTCTAATACAATACCTGATGTTCTAACTGTTTCTGTCTTCGTCTGTCCCTTTCCTCAATTTGGGCGGGATCCAAGAGTGCAGTCATTGAACGAAGGAAACTAGAAGGATAAATACATCAACAATTTTCAATTTTAAAAACTTTCTTTAATAAAATGTTGACTATTTTTCTCCTAAGGGAAAACTCAACTAAATATTTGTATTGCAAACAAAAATCCTAAAATAAAAAGCAGACTAATTTTACGTGAACTGAAAAAAAGAGAGGTGAAGTATTGCCTTCTTGAATTCCCAAAGACTGATGCAGACATTTACAAGCTTGACAAGGACACTCACTTGGTTTTCTCAATGACTGCGGGAGCTGTATCCTGAACAGATTTCCCTGAATTCTCCTCCTCTGAAGGCCCAAGTTGGCTTCCAGATAAAGGTGTATAAGGACTGCTAACATCAGTCATTTCCTGAGTGTCCGGGGACAGACAGAAGTAGTCGGGTTGTTTCTGGGTTGCACGAGAGGAGAGCTGAGACTGAGAATTGGGATAGAGTTTTAAGGAATCAAAATGCATGGCCCATCTGTCATGTTCTTCACCCTGACGAAAAAAGAAAGCAAGCCTTTATGGCCAGGCTGACATTGTCCCTACCGAGCAGGGGGATGAAAAGTGCTTGTCCCATTCTATGCAGCCAGCTGGCCAGTATCCACGGAAGACCTGGTACCAAGGGCGAGGTCCTTCGTCCCACACCTGGGACTCAGAGATTGCTGTAAGTCTCTTGGAGTGCGTGAATAAAATGAAATCAGGATGGGAGTAAAAACAGCTATAAACGTGGAGTGGCTCGAAACCAATACCAACAAATGATCTCAATTCATTTATCATGTCCACTAGACAACATATATAGTTTTCTAAGACAATGTGAGCTGGAAAACTGAGGTCAAAGGATTAGGAAACTGGTTTTAAAGTCAAAATGATTCCAGAATCTCTTGGGGGAAAAGACTCGTGCTAACGAGTCTCACTGAAATTACCTTTGAATATATCACTCTTTCCTGGAGTTTTCGTAGCTTATCTTCTTCCTTCTGCTTGTTCAGCTCTTCGATCCACTTTCTCTGCTGCTCTCTTTTCATGGCACTGAAAGGATGCTCCAGTGGGGCAGCTTCCTGAAAGAAGAGCCAACATACCATGAGCTGATAGGAACCACAGATGAAGGGAACGGGGTCATCTCATTACTTATTTTGTCTTCAAATTAACTGACTAATTCTGGTAAAAAAAAAAATCTCAAATAAAGGAGAACAGAACATAATATGAACACTGATATTCTGGTTCCATGGCACCAGGTCAGGTCAAAATGGAGTCTAGTTATATGAAACAGAAATAAAACTCAATTTAAAGGGGATATAGAGTTAAATGGTCCCATTCTATTACAATCATTTGAATAATCCAAAACATCAGTAATTTAAACATTTGTATGGATTTACTTTTAAACTTACTTTTTCAATCAGCAACAATCCGGCTTCTCTCCCTCCCAGCCAACTGAGAATGAAAGAAACCAAACCCTTGCTAGAAACTGCAGAGCCAACCACAACGCCCTTCTGCACTGGCTGGGTCTTCCTGAGGGCTCCACCCCTCTAGATTAGGACGTAGGTAGCATGTTTCATGCTTTAGCCTTCTGCAGTCACGTTTGGTCGTTGCTCTGAGCAGGGTTTCTCATTCTTTCAAAGCTGTTTGTCTTTACCATATTTTCGTCACTGTATTAATTTTTCTCCTGGGTCTGTTCACTTCATTCAGTCAGTTCATCTAAGTCTTCCTGGTTTCTCTCAAACGACCTCCTTCAACATTTCTGACGGCATCACAGTATGCCATCGTATTTACATACCATAAACTGTCCAGTCACTCCCCAAATCATGGTTACCCTCTCCAATTTCCATTTTTTGCCATCTTACAGAGCTAGAAATACTTTTGTACATCCTAGGAGTTTGTTTTGCTTAGGTCTGATCTCTCCTTTAATCTACCTTCTTGTTAATCTTTCCTCCTCCACTTTCCCTCCTATTTCCCTCATGAGTGATATATTTTTGAATCCAACTCTGTGTGTGTAGACTCTTCCCTCCTTTCACCAGGTCAGATGCGAGTAAGGTTCAAGCATCAGCCAACTTTCCCCCACACCCTCATCATATGTATAGATTAGGTATGAGCAAACTATGGCTAGTCAACTAAATCCCCCTGCTGGTTCATAAGCCAAGGTCCCAAATACAATGTAACTTTTGTTTTAAAATGTAAAAACCACTCCCAGCTTGCTAGCTGCACAAAAACAGGCCCCAGTTCTGCTGCTGCAGCTTGCTGACCTCTGTTATAGAAATTTACTTACGCATCCTGATTATATGAGATGATTCTCCCTAACCTTCTTCTCCCCACACCCTCCAGTGTATAAATACTGACTGACCCTTATGCCTGCTCTTGTCTTTATGCAATTTTTACTTGCATGGACCTAGGATTTCACAAGCACAGTACTTCTTCCAACAAAGCCCATTCCAATCCATCCAGTCTTTCTTATTCCGACTGATTCTTCTTCATGGTCTCTTAACAATCCTCCGCCAGGGCTCACCTAGCGTGCTGAAGGCCTCTTCATTTTTTAGACCCCTTGACGGTGTGTATATCATCCTAGGGGAGTAGCCTAGCACACTGTCTGGCGTGACCAGTGCATGTCCTTTGCCTTACGTTTTCATGCTGCTTATCCGGCGCAATATTCCACAGGAAATATGCTGCGGCTTCCTTGCTGGGCCTTCATACAGGCAGACCATCTGCCCCTCTCTGACACTATGGTTTTCACACGTGGCAGCCATATACTATCCCAGGAGAACCACTAGTGTTAAACAGAAGCCCTAGCTTCCAGAGAAGCTGGGATCATTAAAAGCACTGTGTCGTTTCCCCAGACAGATCCGGCCTCCTCTCCCAAGGCAGCACAAGTGTGGGCACAGCACTGGCCTTGCAGCCAGAGGTGGCGGCGGCTGCCAGGGCTCACGTGGTGGTGGGTGCTGCTGCTGCTCCGTGCTGGGCTTTGGTGCAGGGCTCGGTTTCTACACTGGAGAGAGGGAGAAGTGCTGCTTCGCTGAGGAAATCCCGGATGAGCGTTGGTCCTCAGGAGTCACTGCAGCTGTGGGATCAACAGACAGACACCACCTCGCTCTGCACGCCGACCTGGGGATGCACGTGGAGGCGAAGGAGCCGATGGACAGGTGTAATCAGAGCAGGATGACTCCAAGAGCCGACTGGCCTTCACCTCCCAGTGACCATCCAGCTTGACCCTGGCGACCATCTTTGCAGGCAGCAAGCTACGAGCATTCCTAGACACATGGGTCATGAACACGTAACAACCACCTGAGATCAGAGCTAGGACTCTGCCCATCAGCCGCTTGATCAGGCAGAACAGACCCAGAGGAACGGGACGACTAGCAGTTATCACGAGGAATGGCGAGCACGCCAGCCAGAGACGCTGCGGGGGTCCACTCAGACTGTCATCCTCATCCTCAGTGGCATGGGGTAAACACAACGTCGTAAGAGTTTCTCTGAGGCCAAGAAGCTGCTGTAAAGTTCTTTCCTGGGCAGCCCCTTCCTTCCATCCCACTCACTTGGTACTGTCCTCATGTCACGACCCCACTGGCTGCATGAATTTTGGATGAAAAAAAATCAAGACTGTATCTATGCCGAAGTGTGTACACACACACAGACACCCCCCCCCCCCCAATACCCACTCTGGTTCTATGGTGGCAAGAGCCAGAGCTGATCACTTGCTGGGGCAGCTAGGTGGTGCAGTGGATAGAGCTCTGGCCTTAGAGTCAGAAGGACCTGAGCTCAAATACAGCCTCAGACACATGACCCTTACTAGCTGTGTGACCTTGCACAAGTCACTTAACCCAGATGGCCTCACCAAAAGGAAAAAAAAAAAGAACTTGGCTTGTTTTCCCACCTGGCTTTTAACAGGTCCTGTGGTTCTCAAGCACTCTACGTTCCTTCTAGTTCTAGTGATCAAGTAGAGAAGGCCTTTCTCCACTCGCTCACTTTCTGCTTTTCTCTGTGCCTGTGTCCTATGTGACTGATGGCCATGAACAGGATGCCCCCATCTCACTGCCATCTAGTGGTTTGGCCTTCACTGAGCTGTTTGTGAATGTAAACAAAGGGGAAGGTCTTGGGACACCAAGGAACGAGATTTTTCTACATAACAAACATTTTCTGATGTGTATGTCATCTTTCATATAGGAAATGGCATTTTCCTGTCTCTCAGAGTGGCTAAAAAGACCAATGCACTGAGTGTGTTTGTGATGACTATGGTGGCAGTTCTTAGCTAACGTTTGGGAGGTGGGGTCCCCAGGACCAGCCTGCTCCGGGTCACGCCCAGAGCCCCCTCTGCTGTGGGAGGGAGGGGAGCCCAAGGCAGTTGAAAGTGGTAAATTTCCTTCCCTTTGCTTTCTCTCAGAATGATGCCTGAATTACTAAATTTTATTTAACATGCAGTAAACATTTTTTCATGGGACCGAGGTTCAGTTCTTTGCATGAATTTTCTACTGAAATAAAACCTTTTCCAGTGAAAACAAAATCACCAAAACCTCAACAACAATAAGCAATCTACAAAAAAACCCAATCCCACCTCAAAGCCTTCCCTGCCGTGTGACCCTGGCCTCTACTTCCCTGCACTCGGGGGCCTCTGCGGTCCCTCCCAGCTCTAAATCTTTGCTGTCCTGCAATTTCCTGTGAGTCTCCTATCAGGTTCTGGCACCAACTCATTGCACACCCATGGCTGCTGTCCACACTGCACAGACTAATGAAGTATTCGACTCCCAGGCCCAGTCAAGACAAGAGGCATTCTTCATCTACTGGTTTTCCTCTTATGGATAAGCTCGTGGACCTCAACGAGACAGCCCTGCTGAGCTTCTGAGCTGGATGCAGTCAGCACAACGTCACGTGCAAACAGCAGCCCCTGAAGCTCCCGGTCCCCTACGGGGGCTCTCGTCCGCCTGCACCGTACCCGGGGCGGCACTCATGGCAGGCAAACTCAATGGATGTTTGTCATCTCGGTCCCATCGCAGGCCATCCTGGCTGGCGGCATGCTGCTCCTCAGGGCGGGGACATTGCTGCCTTTTGCTTTTGCATCCCCAGCGCTTAGTCCAGGCTTTACCCACACACGCTTCGTAAGTGCCGACCATCAACAGGCCGGCGCACAGCCACTCACGGGGCGCTGGCTAGGGTCCAGGCATCGTGCTACATGACAGCAAGAACACGTGAGGTTTCCTCAAGGAGCTCACATTCTAATGGGGGACATCAGCATGAACGTACGAGATACAGACAGCAGACGGAAAGCCTTCTACACAAGTTCGTGTGGATTTAACACATGCATGGAGAGCTCCTGATGGAAGACAGCCTTGGGGGCGTAGGAAGACTCAGAAGAAACCAGCAACCTCCAAAGCCTCACCCCTAAGACAAAGGCCGTCCGGATGGCTGCTGGTACATCTGGAGAACTGAAGGTGGAGGGCTTCCCACGGGCTCCACAGCAACTGTCGGGGAGGGCCGACTCTCCCCTCGAAATGCTCTTTACCCCCGGGGTCTCATCAGCAGCAGAGTTCACTTCAGCTGGAGATGTCATCTATGGATAAACAAGAACAAAGGGGCAAAACACCCCCATGGAAACTGTTCATAAGAGAAAAGAAAACCACCCTGCCCCACCTACGAGTTTTCTCAAGTTAAACAACAGACAGACATGGCTATGCAAATATGAACACTGGATCTGGGAGGTTCACAGCCTGAACCCGCAGCACTGGGAGAAGAGCCGTTCCCAGACTCCGCTGACACGGCGGGCCCCGCCCCGGGCCCGGTGACAGCCCGCTCCCTGCTGTCTTTTCCGCCTTCTCCTCGGTCCCCTGCAGTCCAGCAGTCTTGGTCTGCTCTCCTCCCCTGCCTGCGTCCCCCCATCCTGGGAGGGGTGCCCTGTGGGGCGGGCTGGGCTCCAGGCCGGTCCCGGGCCCGCCTCCCCGCGCCTCCAAGCTCCTGGCGGCCGCCCCTCTGGGCTGGCTTTGCCTTTGCTTCACCCGGGCCTTCTACGCTCCTCCACAGCTGCACTCTGGCCCGTGTCGCTGCTTAGTCATTCGGTCCCGTCTGACTCTTCCTGGGGACCACAGCGCCCACACTGCCGAGGGGGTTCTCTTGGGAAAGAGACTCGAGTGGCTCGCCATTTCCTTTTCCAGCGGATTAAGGCAAATGGAGGTTACGCGACTCGCCCGTCTGTGTCTGAGGCGGGATTTGAACTCGGGTCTTTGTGGTTCTAGGCCCAGCGCTCTATCCAGTGAGCCAGGTCACTGCCTCCTTCTGGCTCTGGTAGGATGTGAGCTCCGTGAGAGCAGGACTGCACTGTGTTTGTGCCTCTAGTGTCTGGCACAGTGGGCACCTGATAAGTACTTGCTGACTGATGGACCAGGAAAGTGAGGCAGGCAGGCCGGCCAGGCCAGCTCCTCCAGGTGAGGTGAGGTGAGAGGAAAGACTGCGAGTCCTCAGGGGGAGCCCAGGCCACCCCAGAGGGCAGCACCTCTCACCGGGAGACCTCTCTGAACCTCAGCGGCCAGGGTTACATATCTGAGGTTCAGCTGGTAACAACAGAGAACCACTGACTAGAGGGCTACGTCCAGATCTAATGTATAACCTGGGAGCCAACTGTAAGACAGATGGATCTCGGGGAAAACCATGATGATGTAAGCTACGAGAGACTTCAATAAATAATTATTTAAAACGAGATGGGAAGGGGAGAAAGCCTTGTCACATTTCAGGTAGGTGAGAATGAAGGTCTGCTCCACAGCAGTGGCAATGGGGAAAGTGTGGCAGGGCCAGAGACACAAGATACTGTTGGAGGACACATCACGGTTTAGAGCGTGGGAGCCTGAGTGAATGGCGAGGCTGAGGCACAGGGAGAAATGACAAAGTGGGCACTGGATGGGCTCTGTCCGAGAGAAATGTCTTCTGGGAAGTCAGAGATGGGCTTGAGAGAGAGGTCAGAGCTGGAAATGGAGACGAGGAAGTCATCTGCTCAGAGAAGAGGTGATGTCAAGGAACAAAGGGTAGAGAAAGACGGTGATGAATGAATGACAAAGCATTAACTAAGCGCCCACGATGTGGCAAGCGCTGAAGATCAACAGAGAAAAGTGAGACAGCCCCTGCCCTCAAGGAGCTCACCATCTAACAGGGGCAAACAGCCCATAGAAGACAGTGGAGCCAAAGGGCAGAGGGAAAATCCCCAAGTGCTCTGGGGAGAGGGGAGGCAGATAGCGAGGTGCAGGGGTTCTGAGGCACGGAGGGCGGGGCACACAGGAAGGCCTGGGGGCTCTCACTCTCACAGGAAGAACACAGCTGTTAACTCCCATCTCATCTAAGCCACCTAAGACCAAGGGGAAGGCAAAGATGGAAGGGTACCTCTTGCTGCCCAGTTGTCCCAAAGGGTTCTGGGATGGTCTGGGGAACACATCCACCTCAAAAGGTTAGGAAAGGAATCAAGAGCCAGCAATGACGGCAGAGAAGGAAAAACAGACGTGGAAGATCGCAGATGCTGGAAAGACTCGAGATGCATCACCAACTGGATGGTTGAGTCAGTGTGGCCTAGGCAGGAGGGCTCATGCCAGGCCTTCCTCATTTCTGGTTTTCTGACAGGACAAAGAAGCTAGGAGGCCAAGCGTGGAAATGAAATGCTGCTGATTTTCAAGATGTATGAAAGGCACCAAGATGGTGCCACAGGCTGAACTGCACTGATGCTGAGGACCCTCATGGGCTCAGGCCTCTTAGCACTGGCTTTTTTCCCTCACCATTTAAATGATCGATAACTACAAACTTAGACTCCTGGCACAGAGTAGGGTGAAAAGGGCCCTGGCTCTGGACTCCAGCCCTGACACTGAAGGGCTGTGTGCCTGTGATGAAATCACTGAACTCCTGAGCCTCAGTCTCCTCATCTTTGAAATGGGATTAATGATCAGACTTACATTACCCAGCTCACAGGGTTGTCAGGAGGAAAGGCTCTGTAAATTGTAAAGACAGACAGAAATGGAAGTTGTTCTATCTGCTGAACACTATGCTATGTGTTATGGTAGGACATACTGCATGGTGGGAAGAGCACTTGGTTTGGAAGGGAGGAAGGAAATAAGCATTTAGTAAGCACCTACTGTATACCGAGCTCTGCGTTAAGTGCTTCACACACCCATTTCATAGGTGAAGAACACAAGGCACACACAGGTTTAGTGCCTCGCCCAGGATCACAACGCTAGTGTCGTTCAATTCAAGAAACATTTATTAAGCCCCGATGATGTGCCAGGCACTGTGCTAAGCAATGGGGGCACAGAAAGAAACAAAGCTGCTGTTCTTAAGGAGCTCACAACTGAACAGGGGAGACAGCATGCAAAGAAATGTGTACAAACAGCCTCTAGACAGAATAAAGAGGAAACAATTGACAGAGGAAAGGCACGAGAGTTTGGAGAGGCTGCGGAGGGCTTCTTGGAGGAGGTGGGAGTTTCGGCTGAGCTATTTTCAGTTGTGTCCCCCGTTGGGGGTTTTTGGGCAAAGAGGCTGGTTGGCCATTTCCTTCTCCAGCTCACTGGACAGATAGGAAACTGAGACAAACAGGGTGAAGTGACTTGGCCGGGGTCACCCAGCTAGTAAGTGTTGAGGCCAGATTTGAACCCGGGTCTTCCTGACTCCAGGCCTGGCGCCCTATCCACTGTGCCCCTTAGCTGCCCTATTGAGTTGGGACTTAGAGGAAGCCAGGGAGGTCAGCAGGCAGAGATGAGGAGAGCATGCTAGGCATGGGGAGCAGAGAGAAAGTCCAGCACCCAGAGATGGAGGGTCTGGCTCACGGAACAGCCAGGAGGCTGGTGTCACTGGATCGAAGAGCAAGGCATCACAAGACTAGCTAGGTTACGAAGGGCTCTGAAGGCCAAACAGCGTTCTGTATTTGATCCTGGAGGCAACAGGGAGCCACTGGGGTTTACTGAGTGGGGCGGTGACGTGGCCGGATCAGCACTGTAGGAAAATTGCTTTAGTGGCTGAATGGAGGATGGACTGTGACAGGGAGAGACCCGAGGCCGGCACGCCTGCAGTGTCTGAGGTCAAAGCCCTGTGTGCCATCCCCCACTGTGTCACCACGCTGCCTGATTCTGAGTCACAGGACCTGGGTTCAATCTGACTCTGAAGCCCGCTGTCCAGGTGAATTTGGGCAGGTTCGTGTCCTCATCCAGTGGGTCTGGATCAGGTGATTCCTGAGGTCCCTTCTGGCCTTCAAGCCTACGCTCTCCTACGAGAATGCTTATAGACTTACCTGCAGAGTTTGGCTGGTCCCAGGCATGGAGGCCCCACCAGGACGGGCCGCCAGCCCCGGACTGGGTGACCCTGAGAGAACGCTAGACGGGCTCGTCGAGGACTGGGGAAAAAAGGAGTGAACATTAGGCACTGTGTCCTGCAGATGACACTGAACAAGCCTAAAGACGAGAGAAAACAAAACCAAACTAAGTGAACGCCGAGCCAGGGCCCAGGGGAGCAGCGGGGCCACTGACCATCCCAGAGCGTCCCAGGCACTTCACTCGTCAGGAAGCTTTGTCTGCCTGGCATCAGCTCCCCTGCTGAGGAGCTGGGGTGGTCTGTAGCGCATGCTCCAGCCCCGGTGACCCATTATCATTAGAGAATCTAGAATTGAGAGAATCTCAGGTTTGGAGCTGGAAGGGAGCTGTGCAGCTGCCTAGCATCTACCCTCTTATCTCAGAGACTGGGAGAATGAGGTGCAGGGAAGGGAGGTGAGCTGCCCAAGGTCACAGAGGTCATCAGGGAGGATCTGAACCTGGGTCCTTGACCCCAAAGACAGGGAGCCCCTTTCTGATTTTCTATTCTTCTCTTGTTTTGTGAATCCCTTGCTTCCTAACTGGGCAGTGACTACACTGTCTGCTTCTGGTCTAAGCACCCCTGCTTCCTGGCACCCAGCACCTGAAGTTGAGGACAAAATCAAGAGTGAGAATTGGTGCCAGACACTGCAGTGACATAGAGAATGAAGAAATGGAATTGTTAAACAGATCACATACATCCCCAACCTTTTAGATGTCTCAGGGAAGGTCATCTGGATGCCAGCTCTTCTCTGGATGCCCACCACGTCAGGTCATCCTTACCTGCGATCCCTCTGCCTTCTGAAAACTGTCCCAAAGCAGTCTGGCATCCCCAGACCTGGCCCAGGGGCGTTTCTTCTGCTCTTCAGAAGCTTCCTTTTCTTTCTTCTTCAAAGCAACCTGTTCATCTTTAAATAATAATGCCCTTTTTATAAAATGTGCAAAAAAATGAAAGGTGCATTTCTATGACAAAAATAACAAGCCTAAAGAACTTTCCTAAAGAACTTAAATCTGCTGATCAAAACTTGTCTTATTTAATGAGGAGGCATGAACTCAGAAGAGAGTCTGGGGAGTTTATTTTCCTAACTGTGCAATTTCTTTGATTGGTGCTTATTCAAGATAATGGTCCTGTTTAATTTTTTCCCATATGTTATCCCAAATGGTCAAGGAATGGGGTTGTAAAGATGAATACTGTAGCTAACAGAATAAATACATAAATTTTCAAAGAAAAATTAGGATGCAAGAGAACATGCCACTAGAACTAGACCTCAATCAAGATCAAACACTGAGTGAGCAGCACAGTGCAGGGTGCTGAAAGGGGTGTCTTTCTGCCTTGCCACGGTCAGCAGAGAGTGCTCTATGTCCTGGCAGTCATGAATCAGTGAGCCTGGGAAAGTGGTTTCCTGAAAACACTGAAAACACATTGTAATATGCACGCGGCAGCATGTGAAGACACAGAGCACAGTGTGGCAAATTAGCTTAAGGGGTCATATCTAGGGCTAAGCTTGTGCAAACGGACACAGAGGCTCTTTCATCAGGATGTTCAGGAATCACAAGGGCTTTTTCAAACACATCTTTAAAAAAGTATAACTATGATACAGAAAAGGAGTCACTTATACTTTATTTAATCACAAAATTGTGATGTGACTGTCCTCAAACTCTCTGACAGCAATCTCGCCCTTTTTTTCTGGTTCTCTCCCAATTCTATACCCACCTACTCCAGCTCTGGCTCCCTCCTCTTTCCCTCCCCTCTCTTTTCATCCCTTCCTCATCCCCCCCCTTTTCTCTCCTTTCCCCACCCTCCCCACCTGCCACCTCTTTCTGAGGCTTCTTTTCCCAAGCTCCCTGCTCTAGCAGGGTTATTAAGAGCCTCAGGGGTATTAAAGGTTCATCAGAGATTGAGGTCTGTGCATAAACCTCCCTGCAAGGCCCATAGGCCTCAAGCAATGCTGCTCCATCACCTCAGCTGGCCTAGAGCTAACTCAGTTGGAGCCGTGGGGGGTCTGGAGGCATGCCTGGACAGAAGAACTAAATGGACCAGATGGCTGAGGCTTACCTCTGGATTTAGGGACACACAGCAGAGTGTAGGAACTCAGGGCGTGAAAAGTCCCAACATAGAACTCTTTATCTTCCCCCTGGAACCACCTTCCCTTCCCCCAACTCGCCTGTTCCCAGAGTCCCCCCTGACTCTGACCTCTTCCCTTGTCTCCAAGCTGTTATTTGATGCTGAGTTTTCTCTGTGTACCACCCTTCCTGTCTGTCCCTTCTCTTCACACGCATGGCTACCACTCTGGTTCAGGCCCCCATTAGTCACAGCTTCAGAAATGTTAGCTGAATGGCCTCTCTTGGGGCACCCTGCCTCCAACCTCAGCCCTCTTCAGGCAGTCAAAGCCATCTCCCTAAAACATGAGTGTGACCTGGTCGCTTACAGTACTCTTCAAAAACAGGCCACCAGGGGCAGCTAGGTGGTGCAGGGGATAAAGCACCAGCCCTGGAGTCAGGAGGACCTGAATTCAAATCTGGTCTCAGACCAGATACTTCATACTTACTACTTACATACTTAACCCCAATTGCTTCGCAAGGACAAAAACAGGCCACCACTTCATCTAAGCTGGGCCTGTCAAGCCCTTCCCTACTGGGTTCCTGCCTCCCTTCCACGTGACTCCTGGGTCACACTGGCCTTTGCAGAGGCTGCTCCCTAGACCTAGAAGGTTCTTCCTCCTTTCTTCTACTTCTTAGAATCCCTGGCTTCCTCCAATGCCCAGCTTAGAGGCCACCCCCTATAAGACGCCTTTCCTGAACAATGTTTGCTCTTTCCTCTGGTTACGTTCTATTTAGTTACCTGTTTACAGATGTTACATCCTCCCGTAGAACATAAGCTCCTTGAGGGCAAGAACTGTTTGTTCATTTTCATCTTGATCACCCTGGCGCCCAGTAGGACGCCTTCCAAATCGAAGGGGTTTGCCTCACGCTTGCTGAACTGTTACAGTAAGACTTTCATACCATATTCCAAAATGTAGTTTGCTCAGCCAGCTGACAGTATTAAAGTCAACCAAATTATAACTACAAGTTTAATAGAAAACGACACAGAATATGTACCTAGCTCCTTTCTCCACTGGAATTTCTTTGCTTCCAACAAACTTTTTTCTCTCTCTCTCTCCCCCAGAGTACTGAACATATCAGCTGGTCTCCATACAGACTTTCTAGGAAAAAGAAAAAGAAAAACAAAAACAGAGCAATCTTACTTTTATGCACTTTGGTAAAATCTGTGCCAGGAATGCCAAACCAGTCTTTTACATCATTTCAGGCATCCAGAATGATGCCCACCCATACCCATAAGAGAGAAGCACAGCCTTGCTGTACACAGGTCCAGTAATAAAAACAGAAAAAAGTTACGTACATGGCAATTTTCTGCTCACACTGCTTAGATGTCTTCTGTTTTTTGTTTAAAATAGAGTTATTTTCATCTGGGATAGGTGAAACATTTTCAGCCTTCTGAAGTAATCCCATAACGTTCTCATCTTTTGACTCCTTAGGCAAATGGTTAAAATGTAAGTTATTTTGACCTAGGAAAATAAAACATATGCTTTAAAATGAATATTGGATTTCTCTTCTCATATGCATACCATATGTTTTCTATATGGTTGATATATTTATGTATTTTGATTTAAAAGCTTTCTCAAATACAATCAGTGTCTGGCTCTGCCCAGATAATTTGCAATTTTTTTGCATGACATTCCCAGACATTTGCATGACATAGAATAAATTCTCTGTTGTCATTGTTCCCATCATTTTCCTTCTCATACAGCAGCCACATTACAAGTTCAGGCTAGAAAGAGGAGAATTATTTCCACAGTCCCAAGAAGCACAGGTGCCAGAAAACTTGGAAAGTCCAGATGTTCTTCTTAATCTGTTAGAGGGAAAATGTGTGTATGGCACATACATTTAGGGGATTAGAGGAAAGAGGAGGAGAGGGAGGGTCAGGGAGAAATAAGGCAGCAGGATGAGGAAGCTTTTGAAAGCTCCTGTCAGACAAATTTTTTTCTAACAAGCCTTCGCTATTTATCAGTACTCTGATTTCGCAGAATAGCCAAACCATGAACATTCACATATAAGTATAAAAACAAACACTAATGAATTTTGAATTATCCATTCAACATCTCATTTCTAGTAATGCTGGCATGCTAAACGTAGAGATAACAAAAGCTACAGTAATTTAATCTTAAGGCTATAAGTGCATGAAGGTAGAATTCTAATTCTGTAAATTTGAGCACATTTTCTAAAGCTTACATTTTTCTTCTTTCTTTCCATTCTCAATCTGTGAAACAGGCTTATTTCCTTGGCTCACAGCCATCAAAATCTGTTGGAGCTGTTCCTCTGTTAGACAAACCAAACTATTTCTTAGATCTTCAACTGTGAGGTGTTTTTTCTGAGGCTTCTGTTTAAATACTGCCGACTGTTTATAATTTTTAGTCCTCCACAAGTTAGGGGTTTCAGCTGGAATGTTTCTCTGCACACCAGGATGGTCATTATCTGTGTCTTCCTTTGAGAAACTCGTAGTTGGTGAGAAAATCATTCTTTTATCCCCTTTTGCCAGTGAGGCTTCAGAAGGAGTTCTACTTTTCTGTAAAAGGCTTTCACTCCTGCCATTGGTATTTTGTGTAGATTTAAGAACATGTCCAGTTGGTGGTGTTCTCAAAGGCTGTTTTGGAATCTTGGCCTTATTTCCCATCTGTTAAAACATTGCAGTTATATTCTTAAGTGAAAAGCAACATGAAATGCATAGCAACAAGCCAGAAGCTTTCTGTGTCATCAGTCCACCAAACATGTTCTCTATGCTATTTAGTCACATGATTTACAGAAAACTTTCCTATTGGACACTGATTCTTTTATTTTTCCAGTTAATTAAGATCTGTATTGTGTTTACAAATATCTAAGGCCATACAACAGACACTGCTCCTTAACCTGTAGACAGTTTCACTTAAAGGTGGCACCAACAGTAACAGATCAGCTGACTATTTAATTTTTGGGAAGTGGGAAAGAACTTGATTTCCAGCTGCCTCTAGGTCATTTCTCTTGTCGCCCTCTCTCCAAACCCCCAAACAGGGGACACCACCATTTTTCCAGTCCATAAAAATGGAAAACTGGAAACCCTGGAATCATTCTGTATTCTTTATTATCACATTCTTTTTAAGGCGTGAAGTGCTGGTGTTCTGTATTTCCAAAATTTCTTGCTTCTCAGTGGTAAAACCCTAAGACCAGACTATAACTGTTTTACCCCTAGATTACTATGGCTGGGTTCCAATTAGTCTCTATGCTTCTGGCTTTTTCTTTCAATTTATCTTGATCAAGAAACCGTAATGGTCCTTAACAAATGAAGTCTAGCTAGCTCCCACATACCTTCCCGCCCCCTCTCCGCCCAGATTCTCCATCTCGCAGCCAGGCTCTCCCATAACCCCCAAGTTCCAAAGCTTGGGCCCTCTGCTTCAGATTTTCCTCACTGCTTCCTGGAACACCCCATGCTTTCCCCCCCCACTTATATGCCCTGGTTTGTGCAGTTTTCTTGGTCTGCATTGTCCTTTCTCTTTTTACCCATGCACATCCTTCTGATCCTTTAGGACCCAATTTAAACTCCACCTCCTCTAGAAAGCCACCTGATAATGTGTGTGAGGGTCCAACTTAAATGAGATAAGAACAACAGAGCTATGAATTGACCATAATTTTAACATTCAAGTCTTAGTAATCTAGATATGCTCCAGAAAATTCCTAAGCCAATGCCACCAGTCCATCGTGACGTTGGGTTCTGAAAGCCTGTGTGAATAGAATACAAACTACAACAGGTTTTACCAAGCTGGGAAGTCTGAGGGCAATAGGCTGTGTCTGCAGCCCAGTCTAATTAGCAGTCAGCAATTAGATGATGAATTCTTGGGCTATGGCAAGTCATGAAACAAAGAAAAATACAAGATGGCTGGCCCTTGGCCCCATGCTGGTTTCTTCCCTAATGCAGTGATGGAAGCAGAGAATGCTGAGAATCATATAGTATTTAGACCGTTAATAAACACTGCTTTTACTGCTGATATTCTTACGCATGAGATCCTTACAAGTAATCAAAGACCCTGAGTATAACTAATGGAAGCAAACCACTTCAAAGTTAATATTCTTGTTAGATAAATCAGGACATATAAGAAGCTCCAAGTAAATTAAAGTCCCAAGGTTCTCCTTCAAGGGGCAAAGACAAGATCTGGCAGGGTTGATTTTATCATGTATTCAAAGGCAAGAAGCAACATCATTGTGTGGATCCTGTGGCCAACTCATCTCACAGAGCTCATGATAAGCTTATTTCACATCACAGTAGGAGCTTTCAGACCACCAAGGAAATCCCCGCAACTTGCACACCAGCAGTCTACTGCAAAGAATGAAGGGGCAGAGACGCTCTACAAGGCACCGTACAAGATTCTCCAATCCAAATCAACGCGTATATCGTGTGCGGGGGGGATACCATGTCAACCCAAGGAGCAAGATGGGACGGGAAGAGGCGGGGAATGAAAAAATGTGTTAGAAAATGTGGTTCAAGGTTACCCGATAACCTCACGGCCTTTCCAGCTGCCATTCTCCTCGACACTTTGGGGGCTCTGACACTCTCAACTCTGCCCTCCCTCTTGGCCCCTCTCCTCCCTCAGCTTCTGTGACGCCGCTCTCTCAGTCTTCGTTTCACCAGTTCCCTTTGCTGCATCATCACTTTGGTCCTGCCCTCAAGGGTGGTCATCTCTGAAGGCTCTGTCATGGGACCTCCTCCACTGACAATCTAAGCAGCTCTCAGAGATGACTCATTGATTTATGTACTCATCTTAATCTATCCCTGAACACTAGTCTGCCGGACATTAAAAAGGACATCAGACAAGAGATCATGTTCTCTTCTCCTGAAATCATCCTCCCTCCAAATATCCTCTTATTCTAAATGTAAAACTTAAATGATTTTAAAGAACTGCATCTGACACTTGTCAAAGAGGCAAAGTAAAAATTATTTTGCTTACCTTCATGGCAGTTTTTGGTTTACGTTCTACAAAAGAGAAAGGAAAAAAATAAATTATCAATAACAAAAAAATATTAAGACACTGACAGAAAGCATTTTTACAAAATGAATTTAGATATATTTTCAAGGTAGAAATCTTAGCATAAAAAATGTAACTATAGTTCTTCTCTGAGAAGTGGCTTTGTTTCTAATGTTATCTGAACAAGCATTATTTCATTATTTAACATTAGGACTTATAAAGCAGGTTAACTAAAGAATAACACAATTCCCTGACAAAAGAGCTTGAAATCCTAACATCATATGCAGACCTAAAAGGGAAAAAAAAGACTGTCTTTAAGTAAAATGATAATTTTCTGGAAGCCATGGAAGGCTATTTTTGCATTATTGTCCATCTTACTCATTTTTCAAGTAATAAGGTAATACTAGTCTATAAACAGAAAAGGGCAGAGAATTCCATGGGAGGGGATATATAACATATGAATGATACCAATTCTCTATAACAGAGAAATGACAAGTGAAGGCTTTACCAAAATAATTTTACATTTATTATTTTATTATAACATAAATCAAAGATAGAAAATGCATATAACAGTTCAGCAGCAAGTGTGACCATGAGATAATACACACCAAGCTGTCTAAAATTCAGTAAATCTCTACATGCAAAAACATAAATGTGGAATTAAATTTCATTTGTTACTTACCAGGAAACAGGAAGATAGCCTACTCTCAAAGCTAATGTATACAACATTTTGTAAACCATATTAAATACTGTAAATTCACAAGTAATAATGGTAAAATACATCAAGTCATAGTCCAAAACTTAATTTAAATAGCCTGATAAAAACAAATTCTCAAGCACTGAGAGGCATTACTAGTATTTTAAAAGTAGAAATATAAACAGCCATAACCCAAGCTAGATTTAATAAAAGTAAAACAGTACCAAATATAAAAACAAGGCATGCATTTAAAATTCAACTTACATAAAATTTTTTGTTTCATACATATATTTGATAAGCTTCTAAAATATTAATGCCAATTATAGTTATAAAAACACCATACCATATGAAGCCAATATTAGCTTTGTTTTCCCATCCAATAATTCTGTTTCAAGCTTTAATCCATCCCTATAAAAACAGAAAGTTGCTCAGTATTACTTATTTTTTTATGATATAAATTTATTTATTTTTAGTTTTCAATATTCACTTCCACAAGTTTTTGAGTTCCAAATTTCTCACCCCTCCCCCCCACCCCAAGATGGCATGCATTCTGAATACCCCTTCCCCTGTTCTGCCTTCTCTTCTATCTCTCCCCCCTCCCTTCTCTTATCCCCTTTCCCTTCTATTTTCCTGTAGAGCAGGATAGACTTCTGTACCCCATTTCTTGTATTTCTTATTTCCCAGTTGCATGTGAAAACATTTTTTTTTAAAACATGTGTTTTTAAAACTTTGAGTTCCAAATTTTCTCCCTTCCTCCCTCCCCACCTACCCTCACTGAAAAGGCAAGCAACTCAATACAGGTTATACATTTGTAGTCATGCAAAACACTTCCATAGTAGTCATGTTGTGAAAAACTAACTATATTTCCCTTTATCCTACCCCACCCCCCATTTATTCTATTCTCTCTTTTGACCCTGTCCCTCCTTAGAAGTGTTTGCTTCTGATCACCCCCACCCCCAATCTGCCCTCCCCTCTATTATCCCCTTGCTCTCTTATCCCCTTCCTCCCTATTTTCCAGTAGGGTAAGACAGATTTCCATACCCAATTGAGTATGTTATTCCTTCCTTAAGCCAAATCTGATGAGAATAAGATTCACTCATTCCCTCTCATCTTCCCGTTTCCCTTCCACTGTAAAAGCCTTTTCTTGTCTGTTTTATGTGAGATAATTTACCCCATTCTATACCTCTCCCTTTCTCCTCCCAGTATAATCCTCTCACCCTTTAATTTGTTCTCCAGATATCACCCCTTCATCTTCAACTCACCCTGTAACCTCTATCTATCTACGTATACATACACATAATTTTTTCCCCTCCAACTACCCTAGTACTGACAAAGGTCTCACGAGTTACAAATACCATCTTTCCATGCAGGAATGTAAACAGTTCAACTTTAATAAGTCCCTTATGATTTCTCTTTCCTGTTTACCTCTTCATGCTTCTCTTGAGTCTTGTATTTGAAAGTCGAATTTTCTATTCAGCTCTGGTCTTTTCATCAAGAATGCTTGAAAGTCCTCTATTTCACTGAATGTCCATTTTTTTCCCCTTGAAGGATTATACTCAGTTTTGCTGGGCAGGTGATTCTTGGCTGTAATCCTATCTCCTTTGACCTTCAAAATATTATATTCCAAGTCCTCTAGTCCCTTAACGTAGACGCTGCTACATATTGTGTTATCCTGATTGTGTTTCCACAATACTTGAATTGTTTCTTTCTGGTTGCTTGCAATATTTTCTCCTTGACCTGGGAATTGTGGAATTTGGCTACAATATTCCTAGGAGTTTTCCTTTAGGGAATCTCTCTCAGGAGGTGATTGGTGGATTCTTTCCATTTCTATTTTGTCCTCTGGTTCTAGGATATCAGGGCAGTTTTCCTTGATAATTTCTTGAAAGATGATGTCTAGGCCCATTTTCTGATGATGGCTTTCAGATAATCCAACAATTTTTAAATTATCTCTCCTGGATCTATTTTCCAGGTCAGTTGTTTTTCCAATGAGACATTTCACATTGTCTTCTATTTTTTCATTCTTTTGATTTTGTTTTACAGTGTCTTGATTTCTCATAAAGTCACTAGCTTCCAACTGCTCCATTCTAATTTTTAAGGAACTATTTTCTTTAGTGAGCTTTTGGACTTCCTTTTCCATTTGGCCCAGTCCACTTTTTTAAGGCATTCTTTTCCTTGTTGGCTTTCTAGACCTCTTTTGCCATTCTGGTTAGGCTATTTTTTAAGGTGTGATTTTTTTCAATTTTTTGGGGGGTCTCCTTTAGCAAGCTGTTGACTTATTTTTCATGATTGCCTTGCATCACTCTCGTTTCTCTTCCCAGTTTTTTCTCTACTTCTCTTACTTGCTTCTCAAAATCCTTTTTGAGCTCTGCCATGACCTGGGACCAATTCATATTTTTCTTGGAGGCTTTGACTTTGTTGTCTTCTGGTTGTATGTTTTAATCTTCTTTGTCACCAAAGAAAGATTCTATGGTAGGACTTTTTTTGTGTTGTTTGCTCATTTTCCAAGGCAATTACTTGAGTTTTAAACTCTTTGCTAAGGTAAAGGTCTGCTTCCAGTGTGGAGAATGTACTGTCCCAAGCTTTGGGGGTTTTGTGCAGCGGTTTTCAGAGATACTTGTAGGGACTGTAAATTTTCAGTTCTTCCAAGGTGCTATGATCAAAGGAGAGGTGTTTACTCCTTTCCTGGCCTGTGCTCTGGTCTATGAGTGACCACAAACACTCTTTTCTGCCTTGGAACTATGAGTAGGATTTTCTTTTCACCACCACTACAAGCTCCATCACGCCAGTGCTCTTCCTTGCCCCAGGATTGCCACCCAGAACTGTGACCCAAATCCATGCATGGGCAAAGCAGAGAATCCTGCTTCAGCACCAGCAAAGAGATCCCTGCAATCTTCCTCTGATCAGCCACTCGATTCCCCCTCCATCTGTGGGCTGAGAGATCAGGAAGCAGCCGCTACTCTGGGGATGCACCAGGACTAGGGCTGGGACCGAGTTTCTCTCTCACTGCAGTCACAGACTTTTCCTATTGACTTTCTAAGTTGTCTTTGGTGTTTGTGGGTTGAGAAGTCTGGAAACCGCCATAGTTGCCTGTGATTCAGTCCTCTGAGGGCTGCTCCAGGTTCGCTGAGGTCTGGTCTTTGCCTGTGTGCCCATGCTGAACTGCGTTCCTCTCCCAGCCTGGTGCAACAGACCTTTCCAATCAACCATCCAGATTGTCTTGGGCTGGAAATTTGTTTCACTCTGTCTTTTTGTGGGTTCTGCTGCTCTAGAATTTGTTTAGAGCCATTTTTTTTACAGGTATGTGGAGGGGTTTGGGGGAGAGCTCAAGCAAGTCACTGTTTTCACTCTGCTATCTTGGCTCCACCCTCCCAATGCTACTTTAAAGAGACAGAGAACACCTGACCAAGTCCTGTATTTGTTAGAATCATTCAGTCATTCAAAAAGGGCCAGGCACTCAGCTAGGTACAGTCAAATACAAATGGACCCTGCCCTCCACCTCTACTCCTGATTCCAGCATTTAGCACAGTGCTAGGCACATAATAAGTACTCAGTAAATGTTCACTGACTGAATAAGTGACAATAGTACTTTTAATTTATTTTCTATTTATTTTGTATAGACAAAGTGGAAGGGGAGTAGAAACTAGTCTCTGTATCCTAGAACCCAACATAATGAAGTAATATTACTTGACTTTTTAAAATAGAAATATTCAATTGGAAATAAAGTGACAATCACTGGAATAAAATTTGATAGTTTTACTAGAAAACATCTGGATTCAGGGAAGACACGGCATAATGGAGAAGATGCTGATCTTCAAGCGTGAAGGGCTTAGTTCTGGCCTTGGTCCCAACACTCCCTGACCAGGCGGCCACAGGGAGGCCCAGAGCTTTGACCAAGCAAGCTCCTCGCGTGTCAGACCTGAATGATGAGGAAAGTGCGCCACAAATCTTCAAGCACCAAAGAAATGTGTTTTTCTTTCTTTGTAGAAACAAGGATTCAACACCTATGAATTTATCAGTGGGGACAAAATATACACTGAACCGAAGCAGAAAAATCTGTGAGAATAAGAAGAATAAGAAGATGAGATTGAGAAAGTTCCCTCACTCAACTGTCAAAGACATTATGTTTTAATTTTTAGCAAGGCCTAAAGCTGTGACTGGGACCGCTAGGAGGTGCCACACTGCATAGAGAACTGGGCCTGGAGTCAGAAGATATCTTCCTGAATTCAAGTCTGGCCTCAGACACTTACTATCTGTATGACCCTGAGCAAGTCGCTTACCCCTACTAGCCTCAGTTTCCTCATCTGTAAAATGAGCTGCAGAAGGAAATGACAAACCCAGCCTGTATCTCTGCCAAGAAACCCCAAATGGGGTACAAAGGGTCAGACATGACTGAACAACAACAAAGCTTATCTGATGAACTTTTACCAAAAAGAATAACCAAAAGAGAAAGACGAGGGTAGGAAGAAGGGAAGCCCTCTCCTTCATTTTTATTAAGCTTTGCTGCCAGAGGGCCTGAAATGTTTGGTACTGAAAGGGCTCTGCGACCTTACCGATGTAGAGCACTCCCTCCAATGGGACAGTCCACAAAGTCTTCACACGATGTTCTTGTACATTTGGAAGGAAGGAAATGAGCATTATTAAGTGCCTTAAGCACCTACTACTGCCAGGCATAAAGTGCTAAGCACTTTACCAACATGTCATTAACTCTCCACAACAACCCTGCTCATTTTACAGATGAGGATACTGAGGCAGACAGAGGTTGAGTGTCTGAGACTGAATTTGAACTCAGGTCTTCCTGACTCCAGGCCGGGGCTCTACCTTCTGCACCACTGAGCTGCCTCAGACCTCCATGCAGAGGGTCTCTCCCTGCTCCAGAGGTCTTCCTCATGCCTGTTAGTTTGACAGCTCTTCCCCACCTGGGCTCACCTTCTTTGACACATCTTTCTGGATCTTTCCTACCACTAGGTCCCAGTGAGTCTGGGGGCAGAAGTGCACTCAGCAAGACCCAATCTCAAAGCCTGGCTCTCACACTTGCCAGGGGTGAATAGAGATTTTCCTCATCTGCAAAATGGGGGAATAATCTTCGAAGGATCCACCTCATGTGGGGTTCTGAGGTAGCCAACAAAAAGCCGAGCTGTTGGTATTATTTGAGGAGTCAATTAGACTAGAAAATAAAACACGTTTTTCTGGTTGCTATTCAGTGACATCTGAACAAATTGGGAAGCGTTCTTCTCTGCTCAAAGCACAGGGCCTCTGAATCACTGCTCACAGGGTTTGTGAGTCTCTTTTCCCCACTGTTCAGAAACTCGGAGCCTGTTTCCTCATTTTGAGAAACACTTAAGTGGCAAACAGTAAGTATGGGTTGTTTTAGGAAATGCAGGCTTTTCAAAGGCCTGGTTCTCAGCACATTTTTTTTTAGGCAACTGGGGTTAAGTGACCTGCCCAGGTTCACACAGCTAGTAAGTGTCAAGTGTTTGGTCTGAGGCAATATTTGAACTCATGTCCTCCTGACTTCAGAGCCGGTGCTCTATCCACTGAGCATTTTTTCTCTGTAATTGAAACAGTTCTTGGTGAACATTTTTGAGTCCTCTATTCTAACGAAAATGGTTTACTCTTAATCAAAGTTGGGAAGTTTTCCGCTGAGCTCCAAAACAAATGGTCACACATACAGTCAGTCTGGGCTGCACTGTTTTCCCTTTGAAACAATACCTGAGCATGAAATGGAAAGGAAACCCAGGGTGATGACAGCTTTGCAAGGTGCCAAGGGTAGAAGGACTGGAAGTCACAGTGAGAAGGAAGAACAGGTTTCAACACCTGACATTCTCCTGGAGATGAGTGACACCTTGAAGAACAACAGAAAGATGCACAGAGGGTGTCATCCTACTAAAAAAGGCATTAGCGAAGACGATCAGAGATGCTCTTGTCCTGAGAGAAGGGAAAAGCAGCTAGCCCAAGGGTGGCTCTCAGAGGGAAGGGCCACCATATGTTGGTAGACAGATCCACATCCACAGTATAGAATTATTTGGGCACATCTTCCTTGATGCTCTACTTGACTGTAAGCTCCCTGAGGCTAGGGAGCACCAGGAAGCCCCCAGACAGCCTAGCAAAGCACCTGTACAAAGCAGCTAGTTCCTATGAAAGAATGAGACCATTGAGTACAATTGAAAGTGCTTTGGATATGGAGTAAAAAGTGGGTGCAGGTGGAACTGTGGCTCAGAGGCTGCGTGGCACCTCTCTGATGTCTCCCCCACCTCCGCTCAGAGACTTGTCTCTGTCTTACTCATTCCTCACTGGTTTTTCTTCTTCAGATCTCTCTGCTCTCCAGACTACTCTCCACCGAGCTACACTACTGCTGATGGTTTTCTCCTGGCGATAAGACACAGACTTCTCTGTTGGGCATCTTGAGCCCTTCACGATTGAGCTGCTGACCGCACGTCATTGCACTCCACATATTCGGGCGGCTTCTGGGACCCAAAGTTCCATCTCTTGCCAGAGCGCCTTTCCTTAGACTGTCCTGCTGCCTACAATGTGCTCCTGCCTCACCTGCGCCTCTTAAAATCCCTGGCTTCTTTCAAAGCTCAATTTGTATCATCTGCCCCCAGCTGCTGGTGCACTCCCCTCAAACAACTTCGTATTTACTTTGAAAGTTGCCAAAAATATACATAACCTATATCAAACTGCTCATTGTCTTATGGAAGTGGTAGTGTGGGTGAGAGAGAGAGAATTTGGAACTCAAAAATTTAAAAAAAAAAAAGGTAAATAGGGCAGCTAGGTGGTGCTGTGGATACAGCACTGGTCCTGAAGCCAGAAGGACCCAACCTCAAATATGGTCCTAGACACTAGCTGTGTGACCCTGTGCAAGTCATTTAATTCTGACTGCCTCAAAAAATAAATGAATGTTAAAAACTGTCTTACATGTAATCGGAAAAAAATAAAATGCTATTAAAAATAAATAAAAAGAAAGTCGCCTAAAATCATAGAGAAAATAAGTGACGGAGCCAGGACTAAGCCGAGTCTGGGGTTCATTCTTCTGCACCATCCTCCTAACTCTCAGCTACGTGAGGCAGCTGACTAGGTGGTGTTAGGCCCGGAGGCCTGCGTTCAAATCCAGACTCAAACACTTCCTAGTCGTGTGACCTAGGCAAGTCGCTTAATCTGTCTGCCTCAGTTTCCTCAACTATAAAATGGGGATTATAATAGCACCTAGCTCCCAGGGTTGATCAACATCTGTAAACACGCTTACAGGCACAGAACCTGGCACACATTAGGCACTCAATAAATCTTCTTCCTTTCCCTTCCCTCTCAGGAAGTCTGAAGTTAGAACCCCCTGGAAATCTCTGTACAGATCTGGAGGCTCACCTATGGGTTAGGGACTCGGCCTAGAGTCAGAGGAATGGGTGAGAGAAGATCTGGTGTATCTTCAGCCTTGGTACAGTCGAGGAAGGGAAGAGGGTGGTAGGTTATAAGTAACTAGCCTTGTCTGAAGGTCAAAAAAGACATTTCCTTGCTGTCCCCTCCTACCCAGGAAAGCATTTTTATCTTGGCCCCTCTCCTTGGCTGAGTACTTTGCCTTGTTCGAGAAAGAGCATCCTGCTTGCCAGAGTACATGCCTTCCTCTGGGGATGGATAAGCCTGCACAGGGTCTGTGACCCATTCCTTGGACATCCAAGATAACAGGAACAGCCACTCCTCTATTCCCTGGGGTTTACCCCTACCTCATATTGGACAGAACCACTGAATGTCAGAGCCAAGAGGGACTTCAGCATTGAGACTGTCAAAGTTCCCTGAAATGACCTTGTATAAAGTTTGCATTTACTTATATGAGTATGCATTGTTTCTCCCCACTGAAAGAATGTAAGTCAGAGGGCAGAAACGGTTTCTTTTTGAGCATCTGTCTCCATGGTAGCCAGCCTGGTACCTGGCACACTGAAGGCACTTCATAATTGAATAAATGAATAGCTATGAGTCCTAGGGCAAATCCCTTCCTTTTCCTGAGCCTCACCCCTAAATGGGGATAAAAGAACTTCTGTAACCTAACCCGTAAGACTGTTGTGAGTAAAACAACAAACCTTTTTGCAAACCTTCAAGTTTTCTACAAAAAGCAGCAGTTATCATGATGATTAACGAAGACAGGCCATCACTGTGCAAACTGTCCATTAGTAATCCAGGCAGCCTGGAAACTGCTCCATATTCCTTTGGCACTTATGGATCTGTGCCCTGCTTGTTACCTCCCCGTTCCCCCGGGACTGAAAGCTCTTCAAGGACGGGAGAGAATTGACTTTTGTCTTTGGGTGCAAGCACCTTTGTTCTGTGAATGGTTGTAAATGTCTAGTGCCTGGATTATGACACACATTTGGACCAACGATCGAGCTTGTCAATCATCACACAGATCTGAGAAAGTTGGTACAGGGAGATAACATGTTAGCCATGGGACTGAAAAGGAAAAAGAAAGTGGGCTGGATTTCCTTCAACAAACTGACCAGCGCCTTTATTTTCCTTCAGAAAACTGCAAATCTACCAAGTTTCCCAAGAATAAATGGGTGGATGGATCAAAATGAGTTAAGTACTTACTAAGTCAGGAGCCCACGCGCATGTACACACACACCCCCTCAAATGCCATCCTCACACCCAAAGCATCTATGGTTAGTGGCACCCTCTCCCTGCAATTATTTGACATTTCTCTTGAATGAGGAGGCAGCAGGGGTGTTGTGGACAGAAAACTTGACCCTGAGCTAAGAAGACAGGGTGTGAATCTTGCCACAGTCACACCCACATCCTGGCTGTGTGACCCTGGGCATGTCCCTTAACCTCTCCATCCTCTGGGCAAATCTCTAAGCCTATCAGCTTCAGAGAGGGTACATGTGTAGAGGGCGTTTTCTCATCCAGGTGTTTCCTATAGGAATGAATTCACACTTCTAGTTCCTATCCCTGTATATTTTGTATTGATTTATCTTTATACAAGTTGTCGACCATTGTCTCCCCCTCCAGAATGTGCATTCTGAAAAGCAGAGATGATATTTTGGTTTTTCTCTTTGTATATCCAATCCTACATACTCAGTCAATGCTCACGGAGAGGCGGCTTCAGAGATTACGTAACCTCCCCCTCAGCAGAAGTTAATCCTTGAGGATATGGTTTCATTCATGTCTTTGTAGGCCAGCCCCTGGCCAGGCACACAAGAAGCACTTGATAAAGGCTGCTGAATCATTCCCCCCCCCCCCCGTGGAATGTAAGCTTCTTGAGGGCAGATTCGGTTTCATTTCTATCTCTGCTTCCCCAGCACCCAAGCACAAAGCAGGCAGTTCCATAACACGATGGAATGGGCCTGGGGACGGGAAGACTTGAGTTCAAATTCAAGTTCAAATAGTTGTGTGGCCTTGGCCAAGTCACTTAACCTCAGCCGGCCTCGGTAAAATGGGGATAATAACAATTAACACCTAAGGTTGATGTAAGGATAACTTGAGATCCTTGCACCGGTCACAGGATAAAGGCACCGTACAGACCACGCCTCCGGGTAGATCCTGTTTTATGCCGGTCTCCCTATCCCGGCAACGCCCAGAGGGAAAACGACCCGACCGGCCACCAGTCGGTCCCCATCACAACGGAAGCAGAACGGCTGCTCTGGAGGGCTGGGCACACAGTGAGCACTTTACCCAGGCTGCCGGGTCCTGCCCCCCGGGGGCGGGGGCACACAGTAGGAGCTGGGTCACGTGCACGCCCCCCCGCATGGGCACACAGTAGGAGCTCGGTCACGTGCGCGGCCCTCCCCCCCAGCCCTCCGAGGGCGGGGCAGGGGCGGCCCGCTGCCGGCTCCGGAGGATGACGGGAGCCTCGCTCCGAAAGCGGCCCCGGCCCCCCGAACCCGGCCTCCTAGGGTTCTTTTTCGGTTCCTCGGAGAGAACCTGGCCCGCTCCGCTTACCCCAGGTTCATGGCCCCGCGAGTGCACGAGCCCCGGCCACTCCCCGCACGTCGGATCGCTATTCCGCCGCAGGCGCCTCTTTCTCCTCCCCGGACAACGCCGCTGTCACCACCGCCTCCCAACAAGCACCACAGGCACCGGCTGCCGGCCCTGGGCGCGGAGCCAATCACAGCCCGCGATACTCGGGGGTGAGCTCCGGCTACGAGGGGGCGGGGCGGGGGCGCGTCGCTGACGCTGACTCCGCCCCGGATGTGCCCCCGCCCCCCTCTCAGCCCCGCCTCCCGAGCCTCCTCCTGGTGCCCGGCACTGCGCTAGGCGATGCCTCCCTACCCAGACCAGGGGCGCAGTCATTCCGTCCATGCAAAGGCCTCGTGAAAGAGGCTGCTGGGTGGGTGCGGGGCGCTGTGCGGGGCGCGGCGCGGCGGATCCCGGGACAAAGAGAACAGTCACTGCCCGCAAGGAGCTGACATTGCCAGGAGGAGACAAAGACAACCTGCGACCAGTCCATTCACGAGCGCCCCTACGTGTCAGACCCTACGCTCGGCGCTGGGAGACAAGCGAAACCGTGTTTGCCTTCAAGGGGCTTAGAGTCTATTGTAAAATAGAATGAATGAAAACAAAATCAGCACGTCCCCAAGCACCCACGAAGTTCCTCCTCCACATAGGCGCTGTAGTGCATCGCCCATACTGGGGTCTCATCACTTTCCCTGGCCCGTCCCTAGTTTTGGAGAGTTTCCCAGAGCATCTAGGGGTGACCTGACCTGCCTCGGGCACACAGCCAAAGGGTGTCAGAGGCGGGACCTGAACTCGGGGGTGAGCTCTCGTTCCAGCAGACCACCCTGCCTAAGTCCCGTGGGAGGGGAGGGAGTCTGCCGGCCTCCGGTGTCTCCCCACGCCGAACCTTCCTCCATTTAGCCACCAAAGTGATTTTCCTGAAGCGCAGATCCAGTCCTGTTATTCCCTTATTCAAGAAACTCCAGTGGCTCCCTGTCATTTCCAGGATCAAATACAAAAATGCTCTGCTTGTCATTCAAAGCCCTGTGTGACCCAGGCCCTTCCTACCTTTCCAGTCCTCTTACGCCTTACCCCCCCCCCCCCCCCCCCCCCCCCCCCCCCCCCCCCCCCCCGCTTCAATCTCGCCGCTTTGACCTTTGGCTATTTCAGGAACGTCACACTTCATCTTGAGGAGTCAGGCCTTTTCTCTGGCTTTCCCTCCATGCCTGGAACCCCCTGTCTCCTCTGCTCGGACCAATGACCTCCCTGGCTTCCCTTAAGCTCTAACCAAAATCCCGTCTTCTATAGGAAGCCTTCCCTTACCTCTTCCAACTCTAAGGGCTTTCCTCTCTGAATTATTTCCTGTTTGTCCTCTATAGCTTGTTTGCCTGTTGTCTCTCTTATTAGACTGTGAGATCCTGGAAGACAGTGTCTTTCTTTTGCCTCTTTTCATATCCCTGGATCTTAGTACAGTTCTAGACACATAATAGGCTCTTAAAAATATTTCTTGATTGACTAACATAAAAACAAAGACCTCACACACATAGTGAATAGATAGCTCCTGAGTGTTTGTATATAATATAATCCATGAAAATAAAATTTTGGTGGTGCAGTGGCTAGAAAACTGGCCCTGCAGTCAGGAGGACCTGAGTTCAAATCTGGCCTCAGACAGGTAACACTCATTAGCTTAGAGTCACTTAACCCCAATTGCCTCAGCAAAAACAAAATTAAAAAAACCCATAAAATTTTTACATGTTATCATGTTTTAGGGAGACTTTCTGATTGTTGATAGATCCTCCATGATGGACTGACAAGGACAAAAATCCTGCAGGCAGGTGAGGGTTTGGCCCTGGAATCTGGAAGACTTGGGGTTTAAATGTGACCTTAGACACGTACTAGCTGAGTGATGCTGGCAAGTTACTTAACTTCTGCCTTACTCAGTACCCTCTTCTGTTAAATAGGGATAATAATAGCACCTAAATCTTCCAGGGTTGTTGTGAGGATAAAATGAAATAACAAAGCACTATAAATATGCTATCACAATACCTGGAAATGTCAGAGCACACCTTAGATTTCAGATCCATCTTATAGCCTATTACACAGTCTGAAGGAATTACCCATTGTGGAAAACATTAACTTGGTCTTAAGCCATTAGAAGTTAGGAAAAGGAGGTAGCTAGGTGATGAAGTAGAGAGAGCACCGGCCCTACAGTCAGAGAGTTCAAATCTGGCCTCTGACACTTGATACTTACTAGCTGCGTGACCCTGGGCAAGTCACTTAATCCCTGACTGCCAAATTTGCGATTGGTTTTTTATGGGTTGGAAATTTTGTTTTTAAACAAACAAGGCTTAATCTTATTCAATTATCCTGTTCTATGTGATATGGACAGGTGAATATAAAATTTGGACTTGGAAGATTTGGATTTGAATCCTGGTTTACTCCCAGGATTCAAATCCTTCAGTAACTCCCTCTGTAACTTTTGACGTCTTTTCTGTGTACATGATGGAAACTCCTTGGGGAAGAAACTCTTTTTGCACGTTCAATGCCTAGCACATAGTAAGGAAATGCTTAATAAGCCTTGTTGATTAATTGATTCACTCTCTGGGACTCAGTTTCCTTGTCTGTAAAATGATGGGAATGGCTTAGATCATCTTCAAGGGCTGTTCTGGCTTGGAGTCTTATGATTTCCCATGACTACAGAAGCTCGGTTTTCTTTTCTAGATGGCATCACCACCACCACCGTCCAAACCCTTGTTAGGCAGCCACTTGTGGGTGCTGCTGCATCAAACATTGTTAAGGAGATGGCTGGATGTCTTCGAGTAGGCAATGACACATGCAGTCACAGATAAGAACACACGGGTACACCTCACAAAAACACAGTTCAGTTAAGTGCATTATTCAGAAGCATTGGTGGGAAGAGATCCCAACAGGGAAATTTTAAAAATTGCTTTTAGAGACTGAGTCTCTCTATCTTGCTTATATGAGAAAGGCAGTGGCCACATCCCACTTCTGAGAGGCACTTGAGCTTTCTGTCCTAGGCTAGTTTGTCCCTCCTAAAGCAATCGACTCTTCCTTCCCCTGCCCCGCCCCCGCCCCTTTGGTCCAACCAGGCTCACCATGTTGGTACCAGTGAGTGCAGAGTCTTGACTAGCTTTGCCTACTACATCAACCTCTCTCCCTAGTAGCTGGGATTAATGGGTGCACCACTACATCCAACTCAGAGCAATTTTGGGAGGCAACTTTAGGAAGAACAAGAAAGACGAGTGAGGAAATAATAAAAAGCTAACATTTATATACCACTTTAATGCTTGCAAAGTGGTTTACAAATATTGTCTTACTTTATGCTCATAACAACCCTAGGAGATAGGTGCTGTTATTGCCCCCATTTTACAGTTGAGAAAACTGAGGCAGAATGAGGTTAAGTGACTTGCTCAAGGTCACATAATGTCTGTGGCTGGATTTGAACTCAGGTCTTCCTCATTTCAGGTCCAACACTCTTATCTGCAATGCCATTTAGCTGACTCAAAAAAGGACAAAAAAAAAGTAGAGAGAAGAAACAATTGGTTTAATCTTGGGCTAGTTTTTTAAAATCTCAGAGCTTCAGTTCCCTCCTCTGTAAAACTAGGCCATTGGAATGGATAATTCATAAGATTATTTCTTGGGCTTTATAGTTCTGCTGCACATGGTGCCGTCCTCTGCCATACTTACTAGAGAGAGTAAGAGAGAAGTTTTCTAGTGGACAAGAATATCTGTCAAATGAGATCAGAGCATGCCATGGAGTCAATTCCCAAAGGAAGACAGTCATGCTGGGGAGTTTAAAAGAGACCTGAAACCAGTCTCAACATAGGCAGCTTTTTCTTAGGAAGTGTTTCCTACGCTCTTGGATATAATGTGGACAGTTAGAGTTGCTTCATTTTGTTTTCCTGTCCATCAGGAAGTCTCCTGCCTTCTGACAAGGAAAAGTTGTCATCACCTGCAGCTACATAGAGGGACACAACGTACTTAGAATAGGGAGACACTGGCAAGAGGTGAGAGGATCAGAGAGCGCCCCACCTGCACTCCTTGATGACTTGATGGATGTCAAATTCAAGGCTGCCATCAAAATGCTGTCCAAGGGCTCTGGACTACTATTGTCTCCCAGAAACGGATCTAGGCTAGACTGTGAGAAGGTCACAACACAAATTCAATTACAGTAATGGATAAAGATTCTTTGGGAAAGGCAAAATTAAGGTACAATATTGGGAATCTCAGAGAATGATGGAATTTTTCCAAAGAGGACTCAACTGGACTACTTTGGAATCTATTAATTCCTTTTTTGAAAAGAGCTGCTGGGAAAATTGGAAGGAAGTTTGGCAAGAAATTAAGATTGGGGGGCAGGTAAGTGGTGTAGTGGATAGAGATCTGGCCTTGGAGTCAGGAGGATCTGAGTTCAAATCTGGCCTCAGACAGTTGACACCTACTAGCTGTGCAGCCCTGGGCAAGTCACTTAACCCCAATTGCCTCGCCAAAAAGAAAAAAAAAAGAAATTATGATTGGACCAACATTTATACCATATAACTTGAAAAAAAATAGAAGAGAATAAGACCAGGTACGTTTCTTAACTATGGCTAGGGAACAAGTCTTAATAAGATGAGAATTAGAGAATATTTTATAAAAGTTAAAATGGTCAATTTTGACTGCATAAAACTAAAAAGTTTTTGCTCTAATAAAATCAACAAAGAAGGAACAGCACTGTTAAGAGTCTGATACCCAAAATATACATGAAATTGACATTATATAACACCAAAAGCCATTCCTCAATGTGTAAGTGATCAAAGGATATTAACAAAGTTCAAAAGAAGCTACTAATGAATACAAACACACACACACACACACACACACACACACACACACATACATACACACACACAAAACACAACCCCCCCCCAAAAAAACCCCAAAACCCAACCCAAAAGAAAGGAAAACAGAGAAAAAAACCATACTCTAATCTCTAATAGTAAGTGAAACATTAAATAACTCTGAGGTTTCACTTCACTCGCCACAAGCTGGCAGAAATGAAAAAAGATAGGAACAGAGTGAATGCTGAAGAGGCTGTAGGAAGCTAAGCATATAA